CCGATCAAGGGGTCAGGTCAGCAAACGGACCTTTGATGGTGCACGTTCAAATGCCATCTCAACATACACAATAGCGAAGTTCTTAACCATAGGAGAAGCAGCAGGGTCAGTGTACAGTTTCCATAAATCGAGCAAAGGCAAACCGATTTCAGACTGGTGCTTCACCCTCTTGTTCACATGACTCAAAATCTCCAGAACCTATCATTTCCCAAGAAAACCCAAAAAAGGGTGATTTAACAAGCATCGAATTATTGGATTCCATGAAGACCCAGTCCCGAATTCTATAATACTCAAGTAATCTCAAGACCCATCAACTCCCAGAAAGCTAATTATACCGAAAAGCCCCCGTCTTTTCCAATTTCATATCGTCACATCCCAAAACGACTGAGATTCACTGGACAAACAAATTCTCGTGCAGAAACGAGTGCGTATATACGTATGGAGATAGTATAGAGAGTGAGAACTTTGCCTTGTTGCGAACAGCGGGAGATTGAGAAGAGAGAGAAGAAATGGTGAGTGGAAGGAGCTTCGAGAGCAAGGCTTCGAGCTTGGAGTCGTCACAGAGAGCAAGCCTCGTTAACATCCGATCAAGCATTTCCTCCAATTCTCCATCCGATTTGGCTGACAGCAACGGCAATGGAGACGACGACGACGAGCCCTCCATTGTTTTTTTTTTTCTGATCTTTTCTGTTCCCGAAATTTTTGTGTTTGCTTCTTTGCTTCTTCTTTGGTTTCTCTCTTTCAATTACACGTTTCTCGGTTTCTGTCTTGGCAGCCAAGACGGATACGAAACGGCAGCGTTTTATTCACAGGAAGCGGAGTCATGTAATGCGACACTGTTTAATGTTTAGATAACCGGAAACATGGTATGATATGATGACAACCGGAAATCCAAACTCTAAATTTCCGGTTTGGTCATCAGAGTACGGTTTTGTTTTAAAAAATTTATAAAAATTGTTATAATATAAGACTCTTCGCATCTCATGTATTTATATATTGAATCCTGTGATCAAATTATTTGATTATGAAAATTGTAAAACTTATTTTTGTTAACTTAACGTTGACAAAAAATAGCTTTTATTTGAATTTTTCAATAAATATTTTTTTTAATTAAAAACAAAAGAATTTTTGCTCGAAGCCTCAAATTTATATATATATGATATGAATCCGAACCAAATTCTGTTAATTAAAAATAATAGGAATCCGAACCAAATTCATTTTGAATAGAACCGTAACCCGGTTTGTGTGTTGTACCTATAAAAAGAAATAGCAAAAACCGGACGAATAGATTAATAAGCCAACGATGAGGGATTTAATTAATTTAACCTATAAAGAATCTAAATCATTCAATATGTAATCATATAATTTGAATAAATCATTTATTACAACCCAAAATAACAAAAAAAAAAGATCAAAATACGAATAATCCCATCAAAACCAAAACAACGCAATTCCAAAACCAAAACCTATACGTAAACATTGACATGCAACCAGATCTGTTCTTCCCCTCGTCATCGTCGTCACTCTCTATATCTTTAGGGTTATCGAAGTTGGCAGGCACGATCGTATCCGGTGCTGCTTCTTCATCGTCGCCCGACTGCGGAGACCCATCAGGCCCTGGAGCCGTCTGATCTTCATCGGACGGTGGAGATCGCAAACCTTGACCATGTTTCACGTCGATCTTGAAACGCTGCCCCTCTAATCTGCATTGCTCTCCGTCGTAATTCCCGGAGAAGAAATAGTTCATGCCTTCTCTCACGAGAGGTACGGCCACCGATACGGGGACGGGTGTCGTGGCCGAGGGATTAGCCTCCGACCATTCGGTCGTGTCGTTGCCATTCGCGTCGTTGCCGTTGCATAGTTTGTACGTTGTGAGATTGTACGTCTGAATCACCGAATGGTTGCTATCCGTGTTGAAAACTGTAACGAAGTAGGAAGAGGATTGAAAGTAAATACACGTCACACAGTGAAAACGAATATGGTGAAATTTTCATTGTATGATTTTTCATATTTATAATATGGGGTTGCAACCAATAACGTGCAAAATATAGTTTATTTCAAAATGATTGGACAGTATACACCAATAGTACATTTTTAATATTTATCATATTTTTTTATGAAATTTATCATATTTTTTTAATAATACGGAATCATATATTTGGTCTAATAAAAAACATGAAAGTAAGCATGAATTCCTTTTCCCACGGTTGGATATAAACACAAGATAAAAACATGTTTTTCATGTTATTTTATCACTATATCATCCAAATTTGGGTAATATTTATCATAGTTATAACTAATAACGTGTATCTTGTAAAAAAAATAACGTGTATATGTATATATATATATATTATTTTGATAAGAAACTATATCATGCTTTACTATTGTAGAATATACGATGGGTTTGATTTAATACAGGTACGTATTTTAGGTCATTAGGTGTTTGAACTAATTAATACTGTTTTGTCCACAATTTTATTCGATATAACCCCAGCCGCAATAATTATGAAATCGAGTTCTACCAAGAAAATATTAATAATTCGAGATATTATTTTTTCAAATAGCAATTTAAATCGACCGAATTGCATGTTGTGTATTATATATATATATATTTATATATATATATTATCGGAATATATTATAGATAAATATATTAGAGATCTGTATATATCTATATTGTGTTTTATTTGGTAGTCGACACTCGACAGAGTGGCAATCATTTGTCACAGACAGGTTGGAGATGAAGTACAAGTGATTTCATAAGAAAGACTATTACAGATAAGCTTATAACAACCCTATAAGTTCTTGTTCTATATTTTATCACCACACATCTATATTAGAAACACACGGACATGATTGGACATGACATGATTTCAATAAATTAATTTAATTTAAGAAAAAATATTTAATTACATTTTTTTATGAAAATTAACTTTAATACAGATATTATTAATTAGCTTCGGTTCAAATTTACAATCCGAAAAATCCACCCATAATTCCAGTCATATTACAAGTTTTTTTTTATTCTTTTTAATAATCTGTTACAGTTTTTAAATTATATATTTTTAAGTTTTTTTTTCCGATTTGAAAAAATCTGTTATAGGATTATCTGTATAGGAAGTGATTTTTTGGCCATTCCAATACAAAGATTGGTCAATTAGACAGCTAATTATGGGATTATATAGCTAATTACCATGTTCAACAGTAAATGTTTTAAATTATAACCTATGCCGTTTTAAACAAATGTTATGCTTGGATTAATGTATGTTCGAGATAATCGAAGGCCAAAGGATTTATACAGTAAATGGTTCAAGTTAGTGTTTTTGTGCAAAATTCATTATGTTTAAATTTAATTATAAAAATAGAAAATGTTATGAATACTTTATTCGGCACTTTATTTGATAAGAACAAAGCACATGTAAAGTCGGTTGTCATTCTCTGATCTTCCACATCACACATCCCCATTTATTTTATTTTATTTTTTTCCCTCGGTTATTTTTCATTATAATCCCAACAATTAACAAATTATAAGTTTACTGTATGAGAGACTAGAAGAAATTATTATTACCAGATATAATCCTAATTATATGCATGTACTATGTATATAAACTATACACATGTTCTTACTGATAATAAAAAAAAATTAAATTAAACTTGATAATTCAATTAGTGATGCAAAACGTCTGTTTCGTCCGAGTTCGACGTTAATTTGATAACTCCAATCACATGATTTGTTTATTATCCCGAGATTAGTCTAATCTACACCCGATTACCCACAAAAATTAACTTAAAAAGTCTCAAAGAATGGATTAGGGTTCTTACTGAGAAAATCGCCGAGGGAGAAGGATTTAGAATCGGCCCATTTCTGGAAATCGACGCCTGGTTTCTCCTGATCATCGAACCAACCCATTGATTCTCCGACAGTGTGGTTCTTGTACGCATCCACCGAAGAACTCAGACAAACACTCAACGCGACAAATACCAGAAACATCGAACAACAAGACACTATAAGTCTCTGTTCCATTTTCTCTTGTTCGAATTACTGATCGGAGATATAAAAAAAAAAAGTGTGAAGATGGAAGAGAGATGATGATGATGATGATGAAGATGAAGAAAAGGGCATGAATATGTACGTATGTATGTATGTATGTGTGTATTTATAAGGGTTAGGTTTTTGACGTAAGTGGTGGACCCCCGGATATTTTGGGTGCTGTGCATTTGCCCTTCTTCTTTTGTGCTATTTACGATGATGGCTCTTTTATGTCCTTGTAATGTCTAAAAAGAGAAATTATGTTATATTTTTTTAGGTTATGTGAACTTTGAATATATTTTGATTCGGGGTATTGTTTGATTCGATAAGTAAGTTTCAATAATATTGTTTCCGACTTTCTGTAATTTGAAAATAACTGTTTTCGATTGAAAATCTAGATTTTAGTTAATTAGGACTACTTTTTCTGTGGTCGTTATTTGTTAAATGATGTTGCATGTGTATAAGCCGTACGCAGGGGGGGGGTGCAATTAATTATATTAACAGAAATGATTGGCTTTTGGTCGTTATACCAATATGGTCAATAATATTATTGAAATCATATCTTATTGTATCATATTATTTCGTTAAATTGTGTGGTTATATATATGCCCTCCGTTTCTTTAGTTTCCTACACGATAGATGGAAAAATTGTAATAAAAATGCGAAGACGAAATTTCAATTGCTTAGCTAAAGTGAAAAAATTCATTACAACAATGTCACCGATAATTATTGCGAATAGGTTGAATTTTAGACGTTTTAGATTAGATGATCGGAGGTATATTAATTTCCGTATGTAATAATATAGACTAGGGTACCCTGTTTCGGGTTTTTAGATAAAATCCGAATTGAATGGAACTAAATCATTATATAATTACATTCACATTAAATTTAATGATATGATCTTTTGAGATAATATTAATGAAATCTGAATCAGATATAAAATAACCAAAACAATTGAATTGAAATGAACCATGTTTTTTAGCAATTGGGAAGAGATCGAGGAAATACGACGAACCTTGGATGATCGGGAAGAAAAAGGAGAACTCTGCAGTTTTTCAGGCGATCCGCTCGGAATTTCGGGCGGACCGCCCGATTTCATCTGGGACATTGGAATTCAGAAAAAAACGAGCGACCGCTCGTGTTTTCAGGTGGACCACTCGGAATCTCTGAGAAAAATCGACTCACCTTCGGAAGCAGCGAGCGACCGCTCGAGAAATCCGGCGACCCGCTCGAAAGTTCTGAGATATCTGGATCCTGCATTTGAGGAAACGAGCGACCGCTCGAGAAATCCGACGACCCGCTCGGTATCTCTGAGAAAAATCGACTCATCTTCGGATCAAGCGAGCGACCGCCTCGAAATTCAGGTGACCCGCTCGAAAGTTCTGAGCAATCTCGACCGATCCTCAACCAAAACGAGCGACCGCTCATCAAATCAGGCGGCCCGCTCGAAAATTTTGAGCAAAATCGACTCTTCTCGGACAAAGCGAGCGACCGCTCGTCGGATTGGGCGGCCCACTCATTTGCACCTGGGCCGAAAGATTTGCACTCCGAAACCCTCTTCTCGACTACTCACGCCATCTTCGACCCACCCAAAATTCCGAGAGGAGATACGCATATTTCTTTTCCATAAAACATAATTTTAAAAGAAGAATAAAACAAAATACAATAGATATAAATTTTTTTAATGTAAAAAAGATAATCAAAACGATGACAATACAAACTCCAAATCAAAACGACTGATTATTAGGGGAAATGGGAGGGGGAAGTCATTGAGGGTTTGGGTAAAAGCGGCCACATGCAATGCAACGTGACGCAAGGAGTGATAAGAAAGTGAGTGTCGGTCCAATAAACTGCCATCTTCCATGTGATCCCCTATTTAATTAAACGGTTACCGCTTGTTGCCTTGGCAACTCCACCTTTGTTCTCCAAAGAATATCATCCAACTGCTTTTTCCAAAAAAAAAAAAAAAAAAAAAAGAAAGAGAATAAATACCTTTTAATTAATTATCAAATATCAGAAACACAATGTTTTTTTTTTACTTTTTATAATCCAAAAATTCATTATACCTTCAATCAAACTACATCTCGAATAGAATATTTTAGTATAACACTTATTTTAAAATATTTTTTTACTATTTTATATTGTATTTAGATTCAATTTAAATTCAATTAATTTAATTTAATAAAAAATATTTTAAAATTAATTATGATTAAACTACTGTTCATATTAACCGAAGCCATATTAAACCATTGTTCTTATATATATATATATGTATATTGAGAATTCAACTAAAATATTTTATTTTAAGTACAGAATCAAATATAAATATTTATTCAATAAAAATCCAGATAAAATCGTTTTATTTTAATTAATGAATATTGTAAATGTGATGGAAAGTTACAGATAAATTAATTTAAAAGATATTTTATATTTTTAGCAAATGATTGTTAATTTTCTACGAGAAATTAAAAGTGTATTATGACGGTAATTTTAAAAACATCTCTTGAAATATACAAGACATAAATTTTATTTTAATTTATTTTATGATTTATTTATGTATATAGCAAGGGAAAATTGAATAAAAAGAGACAAAACAATTCAAAATAATTTTATTTTTTTTATATAGTTAACATTTTCCTTTTTAATGTCTTGTTCGAATTATTTTTACATACATTTCTTTAGAAACTTTGAATACTTTATGCAGCTTAATATTAGTTAATCTAACAAAAAAAAAATGCAAGGCAGGGATGATGATGATGATGTCATAGTTTGAAGAACTGTATTGCCATTCATTGGACCGGATTAATCGGTTTAATAGAAGTCGTTTCGACCGGTATATTATCCGGTTACGCTAAACCAAAAAATTCGTGCTAAATAGTAAATCTACGATAAAGCCCATTGGGGCCAATTCTTTAGGTTTTCAGATTTCCTCGCTCTAGTTGCCGCTACATTTTCTTCTTCGGCCAAAAATTCCCAAATTTCCAAAACCCTAGAAGGGAATCACGTTCAGGATCAAGGGAAGAAGAAGATGAGGCCGATTTTGATGAAGGGCCATGAGCGGCCATTGACGTTCCTCAAGTACAATAAGGACGGTGATCTGCTCTTCTCGTGTGCAAAGGATCATACTCCGACTGTTTGGTACGCTGACAATGGCGAACGCCTCGGAACCTACCGCGGTCACAATGGTGCCGTTTGGTGTTGTGACGTATCGAGTAATTTTCTGGCTCTGATTTGTCTTTTTGTCTGATTTAATTTGGATCCTTTAGATTTTAGGAATTGAAGGGTGTTAGGAGTAGTGAAATTGTGGGATGTGATGCTGATTATGTGGTCTCGATGTATCTGAGATTGTCGGCTCGGTCGATAATTTGTGATGTCTTTGTCCTGTTGCCATTTTATTTTATTTGGTGTTTTTGTTCAAAGTAAAGAAACTGTGTGTTTGTTGGTTTTGTGTTTTATTCTTCGTCCTCTTTTTGGGGTTTTATGGATTTCTGAGGTATGAATCCGAGATATTTTAAGTTATGGAGGTCTCTCAAGTATCATTTAGGATAATGTTATACTGATGGGTGTTTTTTTTTTTCACTCGAATTGATGGATGGGTTCATTTGAGTGTGTTTTTAAAGTAAATCAAGATTCATTTTGCTGGTGATCAAACACTGGGATATGGTCTCTGTATGTATGAGAAAAGAGAGGACAACCAGTTTTAGAACCTTGATATCGATTGTGGAGAACAAGCAACTTTACGTGTAACACAGATGCAGTTGGTTGTCTTCTTTGAGTTCTCTATAGGTAAATTGACGAAAAATGATGAAACTCTACTTTAGTTGACAGCTTCTTCAAAGCAAATGTTTTGTCATGTTATGGATTTTTTGTCCGTTGTGTTCTACTTATCAATGACATGGTTTTTCAGGAGATTCTGCTAGGCTGATTACCGGGAGTGCTGATCAGACTGTAAAGCTCTGGGAAGTGCAGACAGGGAAACAGCTGTACACGTTCAATTTTGGTTCTCCTGCTAGGTCTGTGGACTTTTCTGTTGGGGATAAGCTTGCTGTGATCACCACTGACCCCTTCATGGATCTCTCCTCTGCTATTCATGTGAAGCACATCGCAAGAGACCCTGAAGACCGTAAGTTAATTATTTTTTCTCCGGTTGCTCTCTCTAAATGGGAATATTATGTGTATGTCGAGAGTGACCAATGGTAGTATTTTCCTTGTAATGGTAGAATCTCATTAACCTATCAAAATTTTCCTAGCAGATAATTGGAAGAGATGATTTCCATGTTAGCTTCTCTGAGTTTGTACTTCATGACCATCTCCACATCAGAATTCTACATTGTGTTAGCATATCGTTTTAGGTGGTTTATTTGGTGAACCTCGGACATTTCGGATGTCATTTATATAATTGAGAATAACATTAAATTATTCCCTGTGACGATGCAGAGGTTGCGGACTCCGTGCTTGTCCTTAAGGGCGTTCAGGGGAGGATAAATAGAGCTGTTTGGGGGCCTCTGAACCGAACTATCATTAGTGCTGGTGAAGATGCTGTAATAAGGATCTGGGATGCTGAGGTAACCAGTTTGCGCTGTCAGTGACACGTTGTCTAATCTGCTGGTCTTAACAAGTTTGGGTGTTCCAGTTCCTCTGAGGGCTATTTAGGTTTTGGTGCTGCCATTGGTTTGTACATGCAGATACAAATCAAGTATCTCACTGTATTTTGTGTATGGTATTGCCAGACTGGGAAATTGCTCAATGAATCAGATAAGGAAGTTGGTCACAAAAAGGCCATTACCTCTCTATGTAAAGCAGCGGACAGTTCACACTTCCTCACAGGTTCACTCGACAAATCTGCAAAGGCATGTTTCTGTCTTCTCCACCACTGTATTCTATTCAATTTTTCTTAGTTGTTTAAAGCTCTATAGAAATATATGTATTCTGACAGTATTTTTGGTTTTTTTAAACCTCAGCTTTGGGATACCAGAACATTGACTCTCATTAAGACTTACGGTACAGAACGTCCAGTAAATGCTGTCACTATGTCTCCACTTCTCGACCATGTATGTATTGTCTTGCCTTTTGGCACAGTTTGTTTTTGCAAAACCCTGAATTTTACGCTGCAAATCTTATGAGCTAACTATTGTTTTAGATGTTAGCCTTTTTATATACTTTGAATTCAACGTGGATATGTTTCTGTTGAAACCAATGTCAGCTTAGTTGTCGTTGATGAATATGAGATGCATTAATGTCTTCTGTCTTCTCTTTTGTGTGAATGCCCTCGTAACATATCAAATTGTGTTCTCTAGGTCGTGCTGGGAGGTGGTCAAGATGCATCAGCTGTCACAACCACTGACCATCGTGCCGGAAAATTCGAGGCTAAATTTTATGACAAGGTTAGTGTAATTGGCCTGCCCTGGAACTGCTATTACACATTTGTTGATGCATTATTTTTTCGCCCATTCATATTCCTTTGCTTTTTTTTTTTTTGTAGATTCTTCTGGAGGAGATTGGTGGTGTTAAAGGTCACTTTGGCCCTATAAATGCATTAGCATTCAATCCAGATGGAAAAAGGTATGCCTTCTGGAATCGTAGTAGGGTTTTGGTTTTGGACATTCGGGGATTGACTCTGATAAAAAGTGATCCCCCATTAGGTTGTGTTCTTACATGATTTTGTAATGTTTTGGACATTCGGGGACTGACTTTGGTTGTTGCTTTAAATTTCAGTTTCTCGAGCGGAGGTGAAGATGGTTACGTTCGGTTGCATCACTTCGATCAGGATTACTTCAGCATCAAAATTTAGACAAAAATCTTGGCTTTTTTCCTGTCGAATTTTCGTTTAAATCTCGGAAACAACTTAGAGTCTGACGAGAATTTTGTTGTTGTTCGATCACTATAATTGATTTGCTATGTTTGATTTAACTACCATCATGGAGCTTGATGCGAGTCTTGCATGCGATGTTGATGGTGCTCATGGACATTTGTCCTGCTCCTTTATATATATATATATATGTTCACTCAACATGCTAAGCTTTATTATGTCATCATAGTTAAAACAAATTCCCAAAACGAATAATACACTAAAAGAAGGCAAGAAAATCACCATCTTTGAGTTGGCAATGGTTTTTCATCATTTTTACAAGTGGACACTTCGCAAAAAGGAGCGAGCCTATGAGAACTAAAAAAAAAAGACCCTAATTCACAATGGACTGCTCGTATGAACACATTGTATGAGACTGAGAGCATACAACAATAAATCGTGTAGCCAATTTTGGGAAAAAACACACACAGAAGATTGAACATAACAACTCTACGAGGAAGGACACATATCGTTACAGTTGGGAGGAGTGGGAGTGGTAAAACACGAATCTTGGCTTGTCAATAGAGTCCCAGCATTCTTAGCTCCATCACATGACTCTGCTCGAGTTCAGGAACGTCATTGCATTCCCTGTCTTCGACTATATATTCCTGGTGTCACACAGTTCCCTGGTTAGCACTGGCTCCATATATGTAAGAAGAAACTCGGTCAATTGAGGAGGTGGAAACAGTTGCAAGACAGTGGAAGAGCTTAATTCTAAAGCCTGGTATTCTATATCCAATGTGTACACACTACTCAGAGGTCAGGAAAGGAACAGTTTCCGTGAATAGAAGCCAAAAGAAACCGAACCTTTGTAAGTTCTTGTTTGGCAAGAACATGATAATGCCGTTCGTTGATCCTTTGTCCGCATATAATGGCTATGAAGAACCCATAGAGCAAGCCCACCAAAACAATCGCCAAAACTGCAACATAGGATCATCACATCTCAAATAACGTCGTCACTCACATTGCAACTCACGGCACAAAGATGGAATTGATTAATAACAGATGATTAACAGAGGTAAAAAAAGGAAGTACAACAAATTGGATTGTTCCTTATAATTTGTGCTTATGGCATTTGGGCTCTATAATTTAGAACGTTGCTTATGACATTTCAGTTCTATAATCCAGAATGATTACAATATCTACTTACCACTTCCTTAATTGGACAAGACATAGAAGAGGTGTACCTGCCATGGTGTAAAACCCATATGGATGTTCTTCATAACCAAACATTTCCCGTAGTTCCTCTCCATAGAACTTGTAAACTAACAACCCCAAAAATGCCACAACCTGTTTAGTGGTAGGAACATGATATGGATGATGTCAGTAGGAACATTAACGGTATCATGCAATTCTAATGTTTTTTTAGGGCTCTTCTAATTTTGGTAATCAAATGCAATATTAAAACCAAGAAGTTCAACACAAACGCATAAAATAATATTGTCACTGTGAACAGGGTTCTACCTCTGATGCTCGAATCCCATGGTCTAGAAATGAACTTTTCCATGCAAAATAAGTTAAGAAGTGAACAAAATATATTCTAATGTGATACAAGACGTTTTTACCAGCTGGACAGTGACGAAGACAAACGCATGGTCTCTTGCCACTAATAACTGAAATCTCAATCTCAACCACCACCTATCTGGAGGCACGTTGGCACGAAGAATGAATGCAGCCCTACACTCGGTACAATGCGAAAATGCAAAACCCTCCTGAAACATTGGAGCAAAAGCAGAGAAACAGTTTCAAATTCTTCAGTCCTAGGAACAACACTTCTTGAAAGGGCTGTCACTGCACTAATCAAATTAGGCCCCTGATTTCGAAAAATATCAAATTCCCCATCAGGAACAATACCTTAGTTGAACGCCAATTATCAAGACAAGATCTGTGCACATATTTCTGAGTACCTTTGCAATTGCACGGCGCAATCAAGTCTTCCCCTGCAACAAACAACAATTGCCCTCATCCTAAAGATTCCATCTGAAATCAACTTGAAAGCATTCACTATCGCTTTAGATGCCTTATTCATACAAAAGTGTGCACAGACAGAATAACATTTTAAGACCTCCAACATCTAGGCAAATTCGACATTGTGGCTGATCTCCAGTAACAAGAAGAGCAGTCTCATCACTATCATCAGCTATTTCAGAAACTTCTTCGGCAACACCAATGCATTCCTCTTCCTCTCTTTCATCGGCTTCGGTCTTGCTCGATGAAGCAGCGGACTCTTCGCGTAAAGCCGGTTCCCTCTGGCTATCATTTGGAACTAATTGCATCTCTTGAACATGCTAAAAAAAATATGGAAGAAAGAAAACGATGGGTAGTCAAAGTAAGAGCATTAGAAAACTTGGGCATTCAGAAAACAGGAGACATGATGGAGGGCTTTACCCGAAATCGACAGATGCTTGAGAATCTTAATAGATGCCGAGCATCGGTTGTTGTCGTTGCTCCGAGGATTCAATTGGGGAATGGGATGATTCAAGAGTGCACGATGGAATCGAGGATGGGAGCGATGAGGATTGATCTGATTACCTTGAATCTTGAGCCATCCCCTGTTGGTCGAAGGGAGAAGCTGAAGAATTAGGGATTCTCGAAGAAATGGGGTCGGTGAAGAGGGAAGAAAAATCTGAAGGGGGAGTTGCCGTCAAATTGTCAATGGGAGTATGCGGTAAAAGGATCGTGCCGTGTCAATGGAACGCGCTGAAATGTGAAAAAAAAAGAAAAAAAAAAGAGGAAAATACAGAGAAAAAATGTTTGATCCGGGCTGGGCGTTTCGGTTAGGTCCGGCGGACCGAACTGAACCGTTAAAACGGTATTTTTTCGATCCAAAACCGCTATTATTTTCCGAACGATACCATTTTTATAGAACCGAATTATCCCGGAATCGAACTGAATCGAATCGAACCGAACTTTAAAAATCTCGAAAAACCGAATATTTTTAAAGGAAATCTATCATTTTTTTAATAAAACCCAGAACTGAACCGAACTGATACCGAAACCGAACCGAACCGAATACAATAAAAAACCCGATTGGTATCTATTTTTGTAAAACCGAAAGAACCGAACCGATTCATTCGTCTTGAACCCGAACCGTTTTCCGAAACGCCCACCCCTGCATCTCAAGGGATTGAAGATGTGATAGACGCCCGTCGATTTTTTTCCACGGCCAATATACGAGATTTTGGTACACATCGTTAAATATTTATCGTTGGTAAGGCCCATCTCGGCCCGGTCCGAACCAATCCGTTTTGCCCTGCGGTGCAATCCTAGATGATTTAGACTCGGCAATCTCATCCATGAGATCGACCTTCGACTCGTGAACGAGATATTCACAATCGATTTTGGATCAACGATATGGGTCGACAATGCCATTTGGATCATCAATTGTTGAGATGTGATCTTGACCGTGGATGCGATATGGAGAACCTCTATCTTCGACTGCAAAGCGTTGAATCTTCTGCGCTCGGCGATTTTACTTGCATTTTAGGATACTAACACCCTTTATAACTCTTTTATTCCTTCATCGATGCTTCAAAATCTCAGGGCATTTTCTCTCTCTCCGTGCTCTCATCGGTTCATCTCTCATCATTTCTTTTAATGATGGAGTCGTCTGACTTACCCCGTGACCCAGAAATGAAATGAACGAAGGAAATAACCAGACACCACAGATGTTGAAACGGTACATACGCAGAAATATCAGGAAACGCACACACAAATCACCTCTCCGTAGAAATTTACCAAGTGATGGACACAAACACACACACACACAAACTTCAAACTTACTCATCAAATCACATCTCGCCCATGCCTTCCTCCTCTTCTTCGTCGTCGTACTCGAGCTCGTCTTCTGCCGAGGCGTCCTGGTACTGTTGATACTCCGAGACGAGATCGTTCATGTTGCTCTCAGCCTCCGTGAACTCCATCTCGTCCATACCTTCCCCAGTGTACCAATGCAAGAACGCTTTCCTCCTGAACATCGCCGTGAACTGCTCGCTCACCCGCCTGAACATCTCCTGGATCGATGTCGAGTTCCCTATGAAGGTCGACGCCATGGATAGGCCTCGTGGAGCGATGTCGCACACGCTAGATTTCACGTTGTTTGGGATCCACTCCACAAAGTAGGACGAGTTCTTGTTCTGGACGTTGATCATTTGTTCGTCGACTTCTTTCGTGCTCATCTTCCCCCGGAACATGGCCGAGGCCGTGAGGTAGCGGCCATGGCGGGGGTCGGCTGCGCACATCATGTTCTTGGCATCCCACATCTGTTGGGTGAGCTCTGGGACGGTGAGTGCTCGGTACTGCTGTGAGCCACGGGAGGTGAGAGGGGCAAATCCGACCATGAAGAAGTGGAGTCGGGGGAAGGGGATGAGGTTGACTGCGAGCTTCCTCAGGTCTGAGTTCAGCTGACCGGGGAACCTGAGGCAGCATGTTACCCCGCTCATGGTCGCAGATATCAGATGGTTCAGGTCACCAACTGTGAATCACAACAGTTTTTAGTATATTTAAACATAGCCCTCAATGCACGAAAAGGATGCAAAAAATTCAAATTTGTTGAGTTTGTGGGTTCAGGATGTGATCTTAGACCAGGTTTTCGCTGTGACATCTTGTTTATGACGAGGGATGCAGATAACTCTCAAATAAGGCAAGGCGAGGCAAGAGACTTACAGCTTGGAGTGGTTAGCTTAAGCGTTCTGAAACAGATGTCATAAAGAGCCTCGTTGTCGAGCACCATGCACTCATCAGCATTTTCAACGAGTTGGTGAACTGAAAGGGTGGCATTGTATGGCTCCACAACAGTGTCTGAGACCTTCGGTGATGGAAAGACGGAGAAAGTAAGCAGCATCCTGTCAGGATACTCCTCCCTGATCTTAGAAATCAGTAGAGTACCCATCCCAGATCCAGTGCCACCTCCAAGAGAGTGGCAGACTTGAAAACCTACAAAGAAAGACGTAAGAAAAATTAGATGTCTATAACCTGGTGCCAAAAATGGGAATCAGCTATATGAAACCTGTATTTTTATTTAGCCCAAGCCATAAGGAACAAGTATCCCGGATCACATTCAGTTGCAGCAAGTTGACGGCATTCAATGTTATTGAATCCCTGAATGGGTATGAGAAAGAAATGGAATACTCAGAGGGTTAAAAAAGTTTTGATACCCTGAAGGGAGTCACAGTTTTCAGCCTCCTTGCGCACTACATCAAGAACCGCATCAATGAGCTCAGCTCCTTCAGTGTAATGTCCCTTGGCCCAGTTATTTCCAGCACCAGATTGCCCAAAAACAAAGTTGTCAGGGCGAAAGACTTGGCCATATGGACCCGTTCTCACACTGTCCATTGTACCAGGCTCAAGATCCATGAGCACAGCACGAGGCACGAATCGCCCGCAGGAAGCCTCGTTGAAATAGACATTCACACGCTCCAACTGCAGATCTGAGGTCCCTGCGTACCTTCCAGTTGGATCAATCCCATGTTCATCACATACCACTTCCCAGAACTTTGATCCAATCTGGTTTCCACATTGTCCACCTTGTACATGCAGGATTTCCCTCATGTTTCTGTTCTGTGGAAGCAACACGCATATTTGAGTCAGAGGATCACTCTCTACAGTCCACAACTAATTATACAATGGCATTGTATCGAGAGAAATAATCATTGATCTTTGAGAGATCAGATCTTCAAGAGACAACTATTAATGAAATGATGATTTCTTAGCCACGATCTCAGCTAAATTTCAACGAAATTCAAAAGCCACAAAAGGAAAACAAATGAGACAAGCATATTGCAACCAGATGAAAGGAACACAGAAACGATCTACAGCAGTCATAGTCTTCTCATCAGTCAAACAGAGAAAAGAAGACAAAATTCGACCTTAAATCACGAGATAAATCAGATTTCCTTGGAGATCATCTAAGATTACAATAAACTTAACTCGGGCTACATGAAGAGCATTGAAAAAAAGTAGTACTTGGCGAGATCTAGCTGTTTTCCATTTTCCGCCATCCAAATATAGAACGGAACACAGATTCAGACATATAACAAACAAAACATGTAAGATCTACTGCAGTTTACACCCAATCCTGCAGTCTCATGCCACACAAATACCAATCTGAAGATCGAAATGGTCTTGAAACAAAAAAAAAAAGACGGAACAAATGTACGAACTCAGAATGGAAGATTTTTGTACGATGCATAAAATTTATCTCTATTTCTCAAAAAACAGGGAATGAAAACCAAAATCGAGATAGATAAAACCTTACAGACAAGATTTACGATGGCGTCGAAAGTGTCTAACAGACCAAACAAAGAGATCAGAACGAGAAGTCGAATCTAGGTTATCAGAAAAAAGAGTCTGTCACCTGCGGAGATCGAAGGAGCGACGGATTCAGGGAAATGTGGTGGTCGTCGTCGTCGATCGAGCGCGAAGGCTGCTCGACCTGAAGAGAGAGTGAAGAAGAGTGAAGGACGAGGATACCTTTTCTGCTTCGATGTTAATGCGGTGGGATTATAATAACGTGAGAGCGCCATATCTCAGAGATCCAACGGCTGAGATTGCTTCCCTCCTTTATCCGATGGATCTGGAGTTAGTTGCCGTCGGATTGTTTGGATTTGAACGGTGAGGATGGAATTAAAGCCGAAGGCTAACTATGGATTTAAAAACTTGTCGGGACATATTGACGAAATTACCCTCGCGTGTGTACACGCGCGTGTGGACCCCTTCTCGCCGCTTCGTCTCTTCGGAACCATCGCCGAATCGGAACGTGAAAATAAAACCATTTGGACTTTGGAGTAAGAAATACTTCATTTCATTTTTGTTATATTTATATCTAGGAGGGCACTCCGAGCCTTTATTATTATTATATAGTTTTATTACATATTTCTAAAATCAAATTATTTAAATATTAAGGTAAATATATATACACATAATATAATTGACGATTTAAATATTTAACGAAAAAATGCGTAATTTTTTTTCATCCAAAACAAACATAAGATAAGAGACAAGTCATTTAGTTACATCAGTCTTCAGACATAAGAACAATAAAAAAACAATTCGGTAGAAAAACTATTTCTATAATTTTTACTATGGGAATATTTAAAAAGCTTCAAATCCTTACAAAATGTTATTATTTTTTAAAGTTACGACTAAATTCGATTTTACCCGTAAATTTTGCATGCTAGTGTTTGCTTATATTTTCGATGCAACCAATCAGATTCTAAGAAAACAATTAAAAGTTTAATTAGAGACTAGAAGATCAGAATTACTCCTACACAACATAATATTTTGAAATTTTTCCATTAGTATTCTTTTTTTCAAAATAGTAAAATAATCTCGAAAAAAAAATACATGTACAGATTTAATTTATAAGAAAATATTATAGATTGAAATCTAATTTTTATAAATGTTCTAATGAATTCTTTAATGGGTGTTATAAATCTTTCAAATTAATTTACGTGCGATGACGCTAACAGAAGGTTTACTAATAAAAGTTACAGAGGTAATCAATTAGACCGATGAATGTACGAATGTGTTATAAGAAGGCAGGATGGCAAATCGGTAAATTCGTCCCGAGGCATTGATATTTTGCTTTTTTGTACGTATCACTGGCAAGCCATGTGACATGCCAACCACTAAAACAATTCAAAACCCCCACTCGTCTTTGACTATATTTTTTTTCAGCTCCCAATTCTTCACTCACACGATAAAAAAAAAAGTTTTTTTGGTAATCAAGTTCACTAGAAAAATATTCAGGAGGAATACCGCCTTATAATTTAGAATATATATTTTTTTCTCCAAACTTAAAGTTTGAACTCGAAACCATATACACAATTTGTACCTTTTCACCAATTAAACTATAAAAATTTGGATAAAAAAATTATTTTTCTTAAAAACATTATAAATACTAGTTAATTTTTTTTTATAACGTTGAAACCCGCAACTAAAGATGGGCGTTTCGGTTCGATTCCGAATAATCGAACCGTACAGAACCGAACCGAACTTTATAAAATTCCTGAAAAACCGAAATTTAAAAAAAAAAACTAATTTTTTTTTAACAAAAACCGAAATCGAACCGTACCGGAACCGAAACCAAAACCGAACCGAATAATATATGATATTAATTTGGTACAAATTTTAGAATACCGAATAAACTGCTAAAATACCGATCCGAACCCCGAAACGTCCACCCCTAACTAATACTAGTTAATTTTGTTTCTCACCGAGGTATTTTTATCTTTTTTAAAACCAAACTGATTAATTTTATCAAAATGTTAACGATTTTTCAAGATTTAAATTGGATAATTTTTAAAAACCCAAAATTACAATTTAAAAAAAAAACTAACATATGATATGAATTGTTAGTCGATTAATACTGTTAACAATTCCATTAGAGTTTAATATTGTCATGTTTAATATGGAATTCAAAAACAACTCCGTATTATTTTATGATCAGATTTTCAAAGATCAATATTTTATTGGCAATTTTTACAAATTTGAATATTTCTTACTCGATTTTTCTATATTTTTCGTTAAAGTTTGTCCAAAGGTTAATTAATCTTTTTGTACAAAAACACAAATCGTGAATAGATTCTGATATCACTTACTCATGAAAGTGGGTCACTGTGAGGTACAGATGATCATTTTGTTTGTATTTCTACTTGAAAGTGACGGTTGATATTCTATTTCTTGAGACAATATTTGGTTTACATTTGTGTATTGAACGAATTAAGTTATGTTTGTACCAACATAGGAATTTTTATATATATACTCTTATTAGAGTATTTTTGTTAGCTGTTTTATCATTAGTTTGTGATAATCTTTATTAACATGATATATTTGTCTCAATTAATAAAATCCTTATAAACAACACATACACTAAGTTGATTATAGAGAAATTCCATAAGTATACGTGTTCAAATAATGGATTTATAGTATAGTGTCCGAAAAGAATTCTTATAATCCCTATCTTAGATAGATTAAAAATTTTGAATTGTGAATTAAAATATAGAAATTAGATGGTTTGATATCTACTTTTGATAAATATTTATGGATCTGTTTTATGGTTAATGGAATGTTCATACTTCATAGTATTTTTCTTAGTTTTTAAAACGGTTATTTTGGTTATCCATATTTAAGTATGATAAATTATGATTATTTTTATAAAAATGGTATATTAAAGTTTTAAAATGTTATATATGAAATGAAATGTTGTATAACGTTTCATTTGAATCTATGTACCCTTCATGAAAATTATATTTTGTTTCAACCATAAATACCATAAAGTTTCATAGAAAGACAAATGACATTTTATTAAACCTTTGAAAACAAAAGTGTTGGTCTCTATAAATAAATAATTATATAAAGGAAAAAGAAAAAATATTCTTTTTTAAATTGATTATCCGTTTATTTATATAAAAAAACGGAATTTTTATTTGCCGATTATAGGACCAATAAATCAAAACCTTTGTCACTACATGTTATCTTAAAAATATATTCTGATAATCATATGTATCTGGTTAAACTGGAATACATTAAAAAAAATGCTCACACGTGTTCAAATGATATTCACATATCTTGGAACCTACGAATTTGTAACATGTGTTGACACATCCACTTCCGAGATATTGGCTCGTAGAATTCACTCTAAATTTGTTGGCCTTATTTAAGTTTGGTCCATTTTTTTTTGTTGATAAATCTATAAAAAAATTAATTTGTCAAATGAAAAATAATTTTTTAATTTTTCAATAATTTATTACCGTTGTAAAATGTACATTTTTATCAAACGTATCTTTATAATTTGTAAACTTATAAAATATATTATTATAATTTTCAAACTTATTTTTTAATCAACATCATTAAGATTTTTTTTATACCAATTAATAAATTTGTAAATTATAATGATATATTAAATAGATTTGAGAATAAATTTATTAAACTAAAAGTTTAGAATTTTATTTTTAATTATTTTTAAGTTTGAGAATTTTTATGAATTTTATATTTTTTTTAGTTTTACCAATATAATAATTACCTTTGAAATTTGTTTCAAAAAACACAAAAGATAAATTAAATAATAAAAAGACAAATATTGTACTGGACCGTCGTCTTCCGTCCAATTAACTGGTTATGAGTCTTATGACATTCTCTGCCGCTAAAAATAAATTATCTTTTACCTGGAAAAAATATTATTTCGTCGATATCCATGGATTTAAAAAAAAAAAAACAAATTTGGAGTGTTACTGACAAACAAGGAGTTACCCATCACAGTAAAAAAATATATAAAATGACAAAAATAAAAAATGAGAATAAAAATAAGTTAAAGAAGATAAATTAAAAATTCCTAATTTCCACCAAAAACAACAATTTTTTCACTGTCCTTGCTTTTCAGAATAGCTAAAGCTTGCGACTCTAACAAACCCAATCCTTTTTTTTTTCTGCTCAATCCATATTTCTCCTTCTTCGACGATCTTCGAATTTTGATTTTGGGAGACAAAGACATTGCATCTGATCCAACGATCGGCTTCGTATTTGGGTGAGGTTTCCTTTGATGTCGCGGTCTCGTTCTCTTGTTGTTCCGCGAAAAAAAAATGCGACATTGTCTAGATTTTGGGTTCCTATCGGTGATTTCGTTTCCTATTCTGGTGTTTTGCATGATCCGTCATTTTCGACAAAGTTTCTTTCTTTTCTGGTCCTTATTACCAAAATTTTCCTGTATTTTATGGTTAGTCTTGATTTTGCTCACCTAGGGTTTTTGTTGTATCATCTTACTACCCAGAGTTCTCTCCTCCGGTTTTATCTGCGGTGTTAATTTCTGGGAAAATTGTGGCTAATCTGTCTGTATGACATAAAATTTGTAACAACTATGTTTCCCCCATTTATGCATTTGGAGATTCTCACTTGAATACTTTGTTTAATCTGCATGAGTTTCTTTGATTTATGTCTGAGGTCATATTTTAGTTCGCTTTTCTATAAAATTTGGTAGAAATGATATGCACATTTCTTCTTTGTGTGCAGATTGCTTGAAATTTCTCGGGCAGTTACTTGTTGGAGTGGTTAGTCATCGACCAACATTCTCCCTTTAAGGGTAAGATGTCATAATCTAATCACTGCTCTGTTAAATTCTTCAGCTCTAAGTATATGTATCTTTTTGGTGGACAGATTAATCAGTCTGTGACAATGACAAGGGTTACACGTGATTTCGGGGATTCGATGCAGAAGAATGCTGTTCCTCCAGTGTCAGCAGATGTGAAATTTGCTTCCAGTAGATTCCCTAATTATAGAATTGGGGCTAATGATCAGATATTTGATGTAAAAGATGACCCTAAAGTGCTGTCCATGAAGGAAGTTGTTGCCCGTGAGACAGCACAGCTGCTGGAGCAGCAAAAGCGTTTGTCAGTTCGTGACCTTGCCAATAAGTTTGAAAAGGGTTTGGCTGCAGCTGCTAAGCTGTCTGAAGAGGTCTGATATATACCTTGATACTTGTTGAACTTGTTTGTACGTTGTTTTTTGCCGTCTGGATCAAGAGGTCGGACTTTTTTTATGTTAAGAGATCACATGCTTGCAATCTGTTGTAAGGTTTTGGAAATCTCACGGAAGAGGTCCCGGTTTACAATGGATTCTTTCAGAATGAAATGACATCTTTGCTGCGATATGAGCTAGTTGTTAGTTTATCTGTGATCACTCTGACAAATGATATGGCTTGCTTTTGCGTTCTGTGTAAGATGTTTTTGTCCGGTTCTCCTACCTGGGTCTTGGATATTTGTTTTGAAGCACGTAATTTATATTGGTTTGTTAGAGAGTAACATTTGTCTTCTTGGACTGACTTGTTTATTTCTATAACTGACTTCATCTGCTAGAATTATGAAATTTTATGCAGAATAAGGGAGTCTATTGGTGTAATAATTTGCGACTTAATATACTTGTAGAACACTCAGATCTAAGTCGATGTTGTTGAATGCAGGCGAAACTCAAAGAAGCAGCCTCCTTGGAAAAACATGTTCTTCTAAAGAAGCTTCGAGATGCGTTGGAATCTCTAAAAGGACGTGTGACTGGCAGAAACAGGGATGATGTAGAGGAAGCCATTGCCATGGTTGATGTTCTATTTCTTTTTTGAAATAATTGCTGTCTTGCAATCCGACAAAAACTCTCTCAGTTTTGATTCACAGCGAGTCTTTTTGTGGAGAGTATAATTTTTGTTGGGTTACATGAAAAAAGTGGAGATTTGTTTTTGGTTTTAGTGTTGCTAAAAGAAAGAGCCTGGATTTTCCTGTATTTGCCTAGGACATTTGGGTTAAACATATTTTGCTGTTTTTTTTTTCTACAGTTGATGTATGTTTGAATTTGAAAATTATCTCTGCTAGGTTGAAGCTCTTGCTGTTCAGTTGACTCAGCGAGAAGGTGAATTGTTCCAAGAAAAAGCAGAGGTGAAGAAATTGGCTACTTTTCTGAAACAGGTAAAAATGCTTCAAGACATCCATGCTTTCTCTTTCCTATCTTCGTTGTGTTGGATGATTTGGATGAGCGTGTATCCACTTCTCTTAAAATAATTTTTGTCGTCTGACATATTACATAGCTGTGCATTAGAGATTTAGAATCAATGTTTTGATTTTCCCTTGCTATGATTCAGAGATATTTGATTGCATTATTTCTACTGTTTAAATCACAAGTTGGATGTCATTCCTTACAAAACATAAGGTTCTAATCATCAATTTCTGGTCTCTTATCTGTTTCGTTCGTTTTCCATCTAAGTGCCTCTTCTGGGGTTTCTGGTCACAACTGGAAAGAAGGAATGCCCTTTGTTCTTTTTTCTTATTTGTGCCATTCTTCTGTGTTCCTTCACGTTAAAGCTGAACCAATTAGTTTTGTTGCCGTTTCTATTAGGCTTCAGAGGATGCTAAGAAACTTGTTGATGAGGAAAGAGCTTTTGCACGCTCTGAGATTGAGAGTGCAAAGGCCGCTGTACAGAGAGTGGAAGAAGCTTTGCATGAACATGAAAGAATCTCTAGAGTCTCAGGAAAGCAGGTATTTTGTGGGGAAAACCTATCATAATTCTGCTGTCTTATTCATGTGGTGTTGTTTAATAGTCCTATATGGATAGTTTCGTACAATCGCACTGCTAATTATAATGCATAATGTCATGTAGATGTCTCTCCCCTAATTTGTCCAAAGTAGTTATGCATTTTATATTTTATATCAGGACATGGAAGAGTTAATGAAGGAAGTTCAAGAAGCTAGGCGAATCAAAATGCTACATCAGCCGAGCAAGGTGAGTAGATGAAAGGTTTTTTTTTCTTCTATTTGACAACAGCTGCCGAGTGGCATTTGTTGTCTGAGTTGAATCTTTTGTAGTGTATTTTCAATAGTTATTGACTTTTTTCAGGTAATGGACATGGAGCATGAGCTTCGAGCATTGAGGAATCAACTTGCAGAGAAATCTAGATATTCTCTTGAACTACAAAAGATGGTCAGTTGAATGTTCCATGTATCAATTTTCATTTTACGACGTTATATTGCCTTGTGCTTTCATTAACTACTGGACGAGGTTATTTGGTATTGGCTTTGATGATGGAATGATGAATTTTGATATGTTTTGTTACTTCTCCATAATGTAGCTTGCAGTGTGCAAACAGAGCGAGGAAAAGATATCCCTTTTATATGAAATAGATGGTTCCGAAGCATTAGGTTCTTGTTTGCGGATCAAACCTTGCTCCGATGATGCCCCGGACATTTCCAAGTGTTCAATCCAATGGTACCGTTCATCTTCTGATGGCAGCAAGGAGCCTATATCAGGTGCACTAGACTTTTTCATTGGTAGCTTTCTTTCTAGTTTTTATTCAGATTATATCACTCTTTTTTCCTCTCAAACTAATCGGTGGTATATGGATGCCATAACCAGAATTGAGAAATATATACCCTCTAGGTCTAGCAAAATGAATATTTTATTTTAGCTGTTGTCCTCTCTCAGGTGCTACAAAACCGGCTTATGCTCCCGAGCCTATTGATGTTGGGAGAGTCTTGCTTGCTGAAATATTTTACGATGGCCATTCCCTTACATTATCTACTGTTGGGAAGATTGACCCAGGTTCATTCTGATCTTGATTCTTCAAATTGGATCTTGTTAATTCACCACGATTACTAGTTTGATTCTCTCGTTTGCTAGTAATTGTTTTTTCATTCTATTGATGGTTACCACTGCGATATTTTTCTTTCCCCCTTCGTCCATGATTTATTTTTAATAAAGAAAGCAAATATGACAATTAGCTAAAGCATGGCTTACATATTTCAGATTGTTGAAAAGTGAAATTAATTAAGATATACATTACCTAGCTCAATTATTTGTTTTTTTTTTTGAAAAAGAAACATTAACATATAGTCCTCATTTGGAGCAGCTGCTGGGTTGGGAAGCTATGTGGAGGCGTTGGTACGGAAACATGATGTTGATTTCAATGTATGTTTTCTCTCACCCTCTTGATATATGTTTTTTTAAATGGCTTTCCATTAGTAATTTAGTAATATTAATTCTCATGAATTTCTTAGCAGCATTTCAATTCAACTGTCCTTGCCTTTTGTTTTGTTCTATTGTGGCAGGTAGTAGTCACTCAAATGAGCGGGGAAGACCATCCATCAGAATCACTCCACGTGTTTCACGTGGGTAAGATGAGGATAAAGCTTTGCAAGGGGAACACGGTAATCGCGAAAGAATACTACTCTAGTGCAATGCAGGTAACTTGGCTCGTAAAAAAAGTCTTCCCTTCGTGATATTTTGTTCAAAATAAGACACCCAAAGATATCATGGTTTTTTTTACTGCATTACCCGATATTTCTACAGTCTAAATGATTGGAAGTCCGCTCACTCTTGATGAACTTTATTGTGTTATATAGCTGTGCGGAGTTAGAGGAGGTGGAAATGCTGCAGCACAGGCATTGTATTGGCAAGCGAAGAAAGGGGTTTCCTTTGTGATAGCTTTCGAGTCTGAGCGAGAAAGAAACGCTGCCGTCATGCTTGCACGGAGGTTTGCCTTTGACTGCAACGTAAGTAATTTTCATGCTAATTATGGGTGGGATAGTGAGATGCGGATATGTGCTAGTAAGCATTCTGTGTTTGCTTCAAAAAACTACACTTATCCACTTCCGATAGCTGAGTTGTTCTACATATGCACTTGAAACAGTGGATAAAGCGCTACACATTAAGCAGCATATAAAATCACGAAATTAGTAAAAAAAATTCCTGAACAAACATAGACTTTTAAATTCATATATCAAAACAAAAAAGTTGTCCCCAATTCCCAAACAAAACATGAAATTTTGTCATATTACCTGTTGTCCTAGTATGTCAAAATTTGGTAATTAGGGACAATATCATGTTTTATTTGGTTCAGATTATGATCTGGTAATTGAAAAGTTCATATAACCTCGGGATCGACGAGTTTTCTGGAACTGGAACTGCAGGTCACACTGGCCGGCCCAGACGACAGGCCTCCCTTGGAAAACTAATGAACCAACCCAGAGGCAGCAGACTAATTGTAATTAAATCTTACTTGAATGTATTCTTCTTGTCTCCGAGTCCCTTAGTTCCCAGCGTTTGGCATTTGTTTGATCACGAGTGTGTTTCCTTTTGGTGGGTTCCATCAGGCTTTTTCAGTGGTATTATCTCACTGGATCCGCCTCTCCCTTCTTAGTGTTCTCAAATGTGTGTAAGAACCATTTCCCCTCACGTCAATGTGGTGACGGTTGAAAGGTGATTGAGCTCAAAAGCTTTTGCTTGGTGAGGGCCGAGGGGTCTTTTGAATGATGTTGTTCTATAACTGCTGGCATTTGTAATGTTATTGTTAGTTCTATTCTCTTAGGCTTGTGTCTCTTTGTTTTGTCTGAGTGCTTTGCCATCTTGATAATGTGGCACCCATTTACTAGATTTATTTTAGGTGTATTTTATGAAATATGTTCTCTTTTAGAAATATATGAGAAAAAAATTTTTCTCTTTATTTTTATTTTTGTTTATTGGAATCGATAGATAAAAAAAATACAACAATTTTAATAATTCGTAGTTTCACAATCCAAATTAGAGTTTTGGTTGTCAATTCAACTTATTTTCTAACGTCACGGATTTTTTTGGGACAGAAAAGAATTTTTAAATTTTTTAAAAGTTTACAAAAACACCCTTGAGTTTCTTCTAGAAAACCTGAGCTCCTCCTACTTGAGCTTTCTTCGGGAACTAGCCTTGTCGGACTTTAGCATCGTTCTCTCTGCGTCGCCATCGATCTGGCTGCTGCCCATTGTTCGTGGAGTTCTTCTTCTTCCTCTTCTCCTTCTCCTGTGGTTAGATCTCCTTTTACTTTTGCGAATCTCACTTCTCCTTCTGTGTTCTCATTTTCTGTTTCTGTCGCTATGGATGTGTAGGGTTTATGAGGTCTATCCTCTTTTTGCGCCTGTTTAGTTTCTCGAGTACGAAATATTTCTATAGTTGGCAAAAACGATTGCATCGTTTCCAGGGATGGTTGTTTGATTCTGAGCACGTGTTATTACTACTTTGTTTTGCCTTTTTTCTGTCGCCATGGATTCTGAAAGGTTATGAGGTCTTTGGCTGTTTGATTTCCCGAGGATGAAACATTTCTGTAGTTGAAAAAAAACAACAGTGGCATCGATTACAGAGATGCGTGTTTGATTCTGTGCATTTTCTGTTATTACGTGTTAAATCTCTTTGTTTTTATCTTTTTAGATTGGGTGGACCTGTTATTATTCGTTTGGGGCTGATTGCAGATTGAAGCTCTCCGACATTAGAAAACCCTTGTTCTCCTCTTTTCAATGGCGGTATTTCCTCTTCTTTTCTTACCTTTCAGCGTCCCTCTTTTCTTACTTCGCGGCCATTTGACTCAGCTGTCTGTGTTTAGATCGACAAGATTTTTAAAGATGAAGCTAGTGAAGAGAAGGGAGAGCGTGCAAGGATGGTGAGCTTTCTGTTAATGAGATTCCGTCTAGAGATATGCAGATTTCAGATTAATTGTGTTGTTTCTGTGATGATTCTGATCAAGGTTTTTGTTTATAGGCGTCATTTGTCGGCGCAATGGCGATTGCTGACCTTGTTAAGACTACCTTAGGGCCAAAGGGGATGGTGCTTTTCGATACATTTATTTTTTGAATTAAGAGCTTTTCAAGTGTTATGTACTTGAGTTGATGTTGATTTATGCTCGAAAAATCATTCGGCAGGATAAAATTTTACAATCTACTGGTAGAGGACATGAAGTCACTGTTACGAATGACGGGGCCACCATTTTGAAGTCGTTGCACATAGACAACCCGGCGGCTAAAGTTCTTGTTGGTATGTATTCAGCTACATTTGCTCCGTTGAATAGTTCTGTACATTCTTTGTTTTAAACTTGGTATTTAATCATCATTTGTGTCACTGAATCTGATTTTCAGACATCTCAAAAGTTCAAGATGATGAGGTTGGCGATGGAACGACTTCTGTCGTTGTCTTGGCGGGTGAACTTCTGCGGGAAGCCGAAAAGTTGGTGGCTGCAAAGATTCATCCTATGACGATAATATCAGGTGCATATGGGATCCTAGTTTGAATGATAATAGTATATTTTCATTTCTGTGGATTGACGATGGTATATAATATTTTGTTTCTTAGGTTACCGAATGGCTGCAGAATGTGCTCGTAATGCTTTACTGAAAAGAGTTATGGATAACAAGGACGATGCAGGTATCGATATACAAACATCTAGCTAAACCTTATACAGTTGGCATAGTGAAGTAATGTTTTAGTTTTGTGGCATATGAACTCTATTAAAACACAAATTTTTGTCACACTGAACTTAAATGAAACATACTAGATTATTTTCTCCAAAGTTTGAGTCGGTGTGTTTATTTTATCTTACTCTCCAGTAACCTGGCAACATCTTCAAGATCTTTACCGTGTTGTGTTTGGTGCCTGTGCAGAAAAATTTAGGTCAGACTTGATGAACATTGCAATGACCACATTATGCTCCAAGATTCTCTCACAGGACAAGGAACATTTTGGACAAATGGCCGTCGATGCTGTTTTGAGGCTTAAGGTGCTGTTCTCTTTGTTAGTCTTCCTCCGGAACATATATGTTCATTCGATGTAGAAAGATCTTCAGTTGATGAATGTAGCAAAAAAAGGATGAAATCATTTGGATGAGTTAACTTTGCTATTAACTGCATGGTACAAGAAGTTTGTGTTCCTTTTTTATATTCTAAAGTCGGTGTTCCAACAGGGTAGCACAAACTTAGAAGCTATTCAAATCATCAAGAAACCCGGAGGCTCTCTAAAGGATTCATTTCTCGATGAAGGGTAAGTAAATACTTATTGGTGCCTTTGACTCATGATCAGATAGCTATAATTGTGAAACATTGGTGTTTGTTTCTTATACGTTTGATTGTGGTAACTAAGCTACTGTCTGTAACGAGCTTCTCAGTTTCATAACTTGTGCAGATTAATCTACGAATTTATGGGTTATAGAAATTTTGATGATATTAGTTACATTGTGTTGTTTGCTTTTTCTTCTTTCTGCAATCTGGTATTTTGTTTTGTAACATTATCAAACCAACTTTTATCTCTTTCAGGTTCATTCTTGACAAGAAGATTGGAATTGGACAACCAAAGCGCATAGAGAATGCAAATATTTTGGTTGCTAATACTGCAATGGATACTGATAAAGTGAAAATCTATGGTGCACGTGTGCGTGTGGATTCCATGTCAAAGGTTGCTGAGATCGAAGGGGCTGAGAAGGAAAAGATGAGAGAAAAAGTTCAGAAGATCCTATGCCACGGGATCAACTGCTTTGTCAATAGACAGTTGATCTACAATTTCCCCGAGGAACTCTTTGCAGATGCTGGTGTACTCGCAATCGAGCATGCTGACTTTGACGGGATAGAACGCCTTGCTTTGGTTACGGGCGGTGAGATTGCTTCAACCTTTGACAACCCAGAGTCTGTTAAGCTTGGACACTGCAAACTCATCGAAGAGATCATGATTGGCGAGGACAAGTTGATCCATTTCTCCGGTGTTGAGATGGGTGAGGCTTGTTCGATTGTTCTAAGGGGTGCCAGGTACAATTTCCCCTCACATTTACTCGAATTTCAACCTCTAATCTTTCCCTGAGGACATGTTCGAGTTGTGGTTCTGTTCTTGCAGCCAGCATGTTCTCGACGAGGCAGAAAGATCCCTCCATGATGCCTTGTGTGTGCTTTCTCAAACTGTGAACGACACAAGGGTTCTGCTTGGAGGTGGATGGCCAGAGATGGTGATGGCGAAAGAAGTGGATGAGCTGGCCCGGAAAACCGCTGGCAAAAAGTCTCATGCCATTGAAGCCTTCTCACGTGCTCTCGTGGCTATCCCAACCACCATTGCTGACAATGCCGGCCTAGACAGTGCAGAGTTGGTCGCCCAACTCCGAGCCGAGCATCACGACGAAGGGTCTAATGCAGGAATCGACGTCATCTCTGGATCTGTAAGTAACAGTAAACTGTCATTGCTTTTTAACCTATAAGAAAACTACTAAACCAAATCCAGCGTTTATAGTTAGGTAACCATTTTGAAACTTGAACTTTGGCCTGCACATATCCAAACTCTGAATGTTAGCAGCATTCTCAAATATGTTCAATATATTGTTTCATGGGTTAGATATAAAATTGATTTCTACAGTCAAAAGATTGCAACTTTGGCGTGAAACTCGAACGATGCCAATGCCCGAGAAATTTAACGATCCTGGGCTTGTGATTCTCGAAAACCTTCGCAGGTGGGGGACATGGGGGAGCGTGGAATCTACGAGGCGTTCAAAGTGAAGCAAGCTGTTCTGTTATCGGCGACAGAAGCGGCTGAGATGATTCTCCGAGTAGATGAGATCATCAAATGTGCTCCCAGGAGGAGGGAAGACAGGATGTGATGAAGCAACTCTCTTCCCCTTCTTAAGATTCTGCTTGTCTTTTTGTCTCCACTAGTGTATGATGTTCCGAGCCATCGTTATTCCCTTCCAATCTTTTCTTTTTCCTGCAAAAATCATTTATGGTTTTGATTTTGACTCGTTAAGTGTTGGTCGGATCTTGTTTATTTCATTTGCCTAATGTTTTCTTCTATATGTGTCAATCACCATATTAACAATGTGCTTTAGTCGAGTCTGCGGTGGTTTATTTTGTTCATTACTAGATAATTGAACCAATTTGAATCGAATGGTTATGATTTTTTTAAAATCGAAAAACCTAAATCCGAATCAAATCAAATAAAAAATAACAAAAAAATAGCTTTTTTAAGAAAATGTGTATTTTTATTGTAATCGAATCGAATATAAACTGAATATAATTGAACCGAATCGAATCAAATTTAATTGTAGCCGTTGGAGAATTTTTTTTTTGAAAAATTTTATAAATGATTTTACCAATTTATATCATAAAACTATACATAAAATAATTTATCAAAACGAATTGTTAAACTATTTTGTAAAATTAATTGATCATGCTATACATATAATTAACTAATTATTGAGGAAACAAATAATTTATAATTAATTTACCGATATATGAAAGAATTTATAAAACTTTTTTCGTATAAATGACCATCAATAAATTTATATTATATATAATAATATTTTGCATGATGAATATTTATTAATTTATATAGATTAGGTAATATAACTATTTATATGTGGCGGTATTACCTGTGTACAGAAGTAGAATAATTCAGGCGGCATTGCCATCCATAAAGAATAAATACAATAGTCTATTAATAAGTAAGGCGACATAACCGTCCAATATTAATAATTAAGGCGGCATAGCCTTCCAATAACAAATAAATAATTAAGGTGGCAAAGCCGACCAAATTAATAATTAAGACGGCACAACCGCCCAATAAAGAATAAATATTTAAGGCGGCATAGCCGTCCAGATTAACAATTAAGGCGGCATAACCGTCCATGAATAATAATCAAGGTAGCATAACCGTCCATAAATTAATTATAAAGAATATCGGTATTCATATATAGCTTGTGGTTAATTCCACTCAAGTATTAATGAATACATGTATATATTATACGAACGAAAATATTATTATTAAAGATAAATTATCTTATATTTAGTTGTGGGAGAGCGCTCGTGCTGATAACGTGTTATGAAATCGGGGAAATATAAATGATCCGGATATTAGATCGTTAGCTATAACCAAAAACGGTATTTTAGGAGAATGAAGAAGAATGTATTTCTTATTACTCTCTCTTGAAAGCGTACAAATGAATGAATCCAAATGGTTTATTTATAAAAATCTCGAAGTTAATGTTTACGTATACGGTCGGTGTGAACAATACCGTATATATGAACAGTAAGTCGATATGAACAATAACGGTGGACTCTACCATAAATATATTTTATTTATATCAGCATTCGAATTCTCGGTTACTCGAATGTTTTTTTATAAATCAGATTTGGATTTGGACCGAGAGGTCAATGAATTGCAGGTCGATGCAGGCTGCTTGCACAGATTGCTGACGTGTCAATATGGTTACTGATGAAAGACCGGTTCGAGCAGTATCCGACCTGCCAGCTGAAATTCCAGGGACATTTTCGGAAATTCATTCCAGAGCCAGCCCTATAACACCACACATCGCTAACAAACTTCTCCTATCACCGGCTCTCTCGTCCTCGGATCCTCGCTCTAGGGTTTTAGCTTCTCTTTCTCTCAGGTTCGTTTCTCTTCTCTCAGATCTATCTTTACGTTTTCGATGCTTTGATGTTCTGTTTCGATTCGAGCTTTCCGTCCATTTCGTGTTATTGCTCCGTTGATTTCCTGTGTTTATGATTTTATCTTAGTTTTCTCTGGTTTCTCATGGTGCTTGGATGGATATGGTTTTGAGATTTGTTGATCAGTATTTCGTTTTTCATCTGTGTGGATTTTTTTTTTGTGTTTCCTTGGTTTTATTCCGATTTCGTGTAAGAGGTTTTATCCCTATGCTGAGGTTTAGGTGTTGTTGTTGTTCGGAAACGTTGGATTGATTATCGTTCATTTTTTGTGTTTTCGGTAATCATTTTTTTCTGTCTTTTACTCAGATTTTGGAATCAGATGCCTGTTTTGGATACAAGGTTGTCTTTTGCTCCTTGAACATGAATTTGCGATCTGTGTTTATCGGTCTCTATGTATTGTGTTGTTCTTTGACTTAATCTGATTGCTCTATTGGTTGTATTGCTTTGATCAGTTGAGTTTTTCCAGCTAAACTTTTGGAATCTTTGCGTGGCTAACAAATCTTTTGGATTCAGAGGTTTTGTCTTAATCTGAGTGCTTCATGTGTTTGCGGCATTATGTCTTAATGCTTCATGTTGGTTGGAAACTTTCAATCGATGATTGTTGATTTTCTTGTATTTGCTGCCGTATCTGTGTATACTGTGTATGTTGTGTCATTTTCTTGGATCTGCATATGAATTTCTTTCTTTCTGTGTTTGTCTTGGTATTTTGGATTCAGATGCTTGTGTTTCATACTGGTTGTATGTGGTTCATTCAGCATAAACTTGCGATTATTGAGTTTATCAGCCATTTTTTTACGGTGCCTGTCTTTTTTACATTATATGTTTTTTCATCAATTTTCTTGATGTGGTTACTTCTTGAGCATTTTGCTGAGTGGCTTGGAATCATTGTATGGCGTATCAATAAATTCTTCACGTAGTGGCTTATAAAATATTCCGTGATGAGTTATTGGTTGTCTTCCATGGTGATTCTTCTTTATGTATCAGTCATTTGCTTCCAATTTTCGATGAGTCTGCCAATTTATTAATTTTTATTACCTTTATTTCAATTGCGATGGTGCCAAGTTCAGATTGGCTAATTGTTCTCGTATTGACAGATCTGAGCACAAGACTACACCATGGGTAAGGAAAAGGTTCACATCAACATTGTTGTCATTGGACATGTCGACTCTGGAAAGTCAACGACCACTGGCCATTTGATCTACAAGCTTGGAGGTATCGATAAGCGTGTTATCGAAAGGTTTGAGAAAGAAGCTGCTGAGATGAACAAGAGGTCATTCAAGTATGCATGGGTGCTGGACAAGCTCAAGGCAGAGCGTGAGCGTGGTATCACCATCGATATCGCCCTGTGGAAGTTTGAGACCACAAAGTACTACTGCACTGTCATTGATGCACCTGGCCACAGGGACTTTATCAAGAACATGATTACTGGTACTTCCCAGGCTGACTGTGCTGTTCTCATCATTGACTCCACCACTGGAGGTTTTGAAGCTGGTATCTCCAAGGATGGCCAGACCCGTGAGCACGCCCTTCTTGCCTTCACTCTTGGTGTGAAGCAAATGATTTGCTGTTGCAACAAGGTAAAAGACATGTTCTTACTTTACATATTTTGCTTGTGTTAATTGACTGAAATGATGTTGCCTGATACGAATGTTTCTTTGTTGACAACAGATGGATGCCACTACCCCCAAGTACTCGAAGGCAAGGTACGATGAAATCGTTAAGGAAGTTTCATCCTACTTGAAGAAAGTCGGTTACAACCCCGACAAGATCCCGTTCGTTCCCATCTCTGGTTTTGAGGGTGACAACATGATTGAGAGGTCAACCAACCTTGACTGGTACAAAGGTCCGACCCTCCTTGAGGCCCTTGACCAGATTAATGAGCCCAAGAGGCCAACAGACAAGCCCCTACGTCTCCCTCTTCAGGATGTCTACAAGATTGGTGGTATTGGAACTGTCCCTGTGGGTCGTGTTGAGACTGGTATCCTCAAGCCCGGTATGGTTGTGACCTTTGGTCCCTCTGGACTGACCACTGAGGTCAAGTCCGTCGAAATGCACCACGAGGCTCTCCAAGAGGCTCTCCCGGGCGACAATGTCGGGTTCAACGTGAAGAACGTTGCAGTCAAGGATCTCAAACGTGGTTTTGTCGCCTCCAACTCCAAGGATGATCCAGCCAAGGAAGCAGCCAATTTCACATCACAGGTCATCATCATGAACCACCCTGGTCAGATTGGGAACGGTTATGCACCGGTTCTCGACTGTCACACCTCCCACATCGCTGTCAAGTTTGCGGAGATACTAACAAAGATAGACAGGAGGTCGGGTAAGGAGCTAGAGAAAGAGCCAAAGTTCTTGAAGAACGGGGATGCTGGGTTTGTGAAGATGATACCGACAAAGCCCATGGTGGTGGAGACATTCTGGGAGTCCCCGCCATTGGGACGGTTCGCCGTGAGGGACATGCGCCAGACAGTGGCGGTGGGTGTCATCAAGAGCGTGGAGAAGAAGGACCCCAGCGGTGCCAAGGTGACCAAGGCGGCCGCCAAGAAGGGTGCCAAGTGAACCGTGCAGCAGGATGTCCCGTGCTACTGCCGCCACGGTAGCAATAAAATATGTGTCTTACGTTATGATGGTTGTTTGGGTCATTTTCCTTGGTTTTCGCAGAACTGGGTTCTGGACCGACGGTGGCAGTTGTGATTTTTTGTGTTTGGGTTTGTTTTGTGTTCCTCTGTTTTTGCAGGTTGATTAAAAACTTATTTGTGGGTGTTTGGATAATTGTTTCTTTCCTCTGGTATTTATAGTTTGTTGATTTGGATAAATTCGTCAATTTCCATAGATACCCCAAAATTTTGGTTTTTTTATATCCACTAAAACATCATAATTCCTTACATTATTATGTCGATATCCACTTCCAAACAATCTAGTTTTTTTCTTTTTTTAAGTTAAAAGACTTAGCTGCATAATCTCTTTATTTTTTTGAAATTTTGACACATAATCAGTCGATATAATTAAAATTTTGTTTTAAAAAATACAATATTGTTTAAGAAGATAACTTAGGAATGTACATGTAGGGATGTCAAAGGAGCCAATTCGCAAGCTGATCGAGTTAGCTCATTTGGGTTCGGCTCATAACGAGTTGGCTCATTAAGCCCGTTTTTATTTGGGTTCAGATATTCTTAGTTCAATTCGATAAAAAAAAGAGTCAACCTCGAACGCTAGTTCGCGCGTTCGGTTCGTTTTGACATCCCTATGTGCATGGTGATCAAATGAAAAAAAAAAAAACATGTTCAAGGTTCTGTCCTCTGTTGGGAAATTGAAATGAGACGACGTAGTCGAACATTCTTAAACTTAAGGCATTAGACATTAATCTTAGATGTTCAAAATTGCTTTAACGTCTAGAGAAAAAATAATTCTAAAAATAAAGATTGAGATATCCATTGTTTATGAGCATGTTCAAATTACTGTAATTGGTTATGTTTTGACCTAAAATGCCAAGTTCGGATATTATGTAATAATTATATTTTCTCGAACCATTATATTTGCACTTATAAATAAATACGAAGGCATAGGCACATTCTATATTTTAAAATAAAAGCTTTACAAATCGGGTATATCAATTATTGGAGATTGGACAGTTGGATGAAGTGGTGATCTAAGATGGTGTTGACAACACATACACAGCCTAGAATTAGATTAGAAAAATTGATGGAAAATAAATCACCAACAACAACATTAATTTAAAAGGTAACAGGTTAAAAAATCAACCTTTTAAAATAATTTAAACTTCAAATTATCAATAAATTGAAATAAATCTTCATCCTTAAAAACATTTAAAAATCTTTAATTCTTAAAACATCTTTTGAAACTTCAATAAATTAATATAATAAGTTTATAAAACATCTAAAAGATCATAATTTTTGAAATTAAATTATCATATATTAGAATTAATGTTATATGTTTATAATTTTTTTGTTTTATTTAGACTTATAGATAGTTAACATATATTTTTTTAATTTCATGATTTTTAATTTTTTAAAAATTAAAAGTTTATTTATATTTATGGATAATTAGAGATTTTAAATGGATACGTCCATTTGATATTAAAGTGGCAAAACACACGACACATCCAACGAGAAAGGGCTATGGAGTGGAGCACTTAACAGAGTCAATATCCACGTGGCAGCTAAGGCACCAATGACGGAGCTATCGTGCTTTTCATCCACGGGTTCCCAGAGCTCAGGTACTCATGGCGGCATCAGATCTCCGGCATCGCCGCTCCCGATCTCCGCGATTACGGTGATTTCCATGAGCCGCCAGAGATATTCTCCTACACCTACACGTATTATCATATCATCGGAGACCTCGTTATTATCTCTGCCATTATGACCTCTGACGAGAAGGTCTTCGTCGTAGGTCACGAGGGCGCGGTAATCTGGTGAACCTCACTGTCCCATTATGTTTTCACCGTTGGATCCGATGGGAAAAATAATCGACGGCCTGCGCGAAATATAAGACGACGATTACTATATTTTTCAAGACTGGACTGGTCCAATGAATGAATCTAAATATGTTAGGATAAAAACTCATAAATTTTATGGAACCGATAACACTTATCAGACATTTTGACATCTCTAATAGTGATGCAACAAGATAGATAGATTTTTTATTGTTTTTTTTTTAAAGAGAGTGTATTTCGTTAATTTAATTAGGTTCGTGTTGGGATAATGGAGGAGTCAGGTCGATTTTCTTGTATTTGTGATAGATTTGATAATCACAAAGAGTATGAAAAGATCTGAAAAAATGGTGGAGAATGATTCTCCAACTCGTGTTTTATTGCTAACATGTAATTACACAACATATATACATAATAAAGAGTAAAAATATAAGGTAAGAAAATATGTCACAATATCTAAGGAAAGAAATTTGTTTTTTTTTATTTGTATAAAAATAACCTGTGCAATTCACACGGGTAAAAAATATGTATAAAATTTTAAAAAAATTATAATTAGTTTTAAAGTTAAATGTAACATATTTTGTTTTTGATTTTATGATTCAAATTTTTAAATCAGAATTTTTTTAAAGTGTCAAGATAACAAGATGATATATATTTTGTTGTCCAGAAGGATAGAGAATAATTTATATATTTATATTTTTCGTTGATTATAATATAGAATAAAGAGTTGGAATGTGAAATACTAGAATAATATTTTTAAAACTTTTATGGTTGGACAAATGGTTTCACTTTTAGCAAATCTAAGAGTATTAGAAAAATGTAATTATAAAAAATATGACAAATACAATTTTTGGTTTAATTAAATACAGTTTTTGACTTAGAGTGTAATAGGATAAATGAAAGAGTCAGTTATATTTTAGTAATGTAGTTTGATTAATTAAATTTAAAAAATGATTGTGAAATATAGTTTAACATTATACCAATGTTTTATTGTGAAAATTTTGTTAATTGAAGTATAATATAATTGGATTTCTAACACATAATAAATTTCTATTATTGTTTTAAATAATATCCCTTAATTTTCAATAATTATATTTTTAAGATTCTCCCAAATTTGTCAAAAGTACAACTCTTATGTCGAGTTGTAAAATTTCTAAAAATATTATTCTGGTGCTCCACATTCTATCTTTGATTCTATACTATTACCTATAAAAATATAGACATAGAAACTATTCACAATTTATGTTCAATAAAAATAATATCTTGTTATCTTGAAATTTAAAAAAATCATTTAAAGATATGGATCATAAAATAAAAATAAAATATATTATATTGGACTTTAAAACTAATAATAAATTTTTTAAAATGCATATGTATTTTTAATTCATACGATGCATACAAGTTATTACCTAGTTCATATGTATTAACTTGGTCAAAATACATATGAAATTTTTAAAAAATTTATTATTAGTTTTAGTGTTAAATATAATGCATTTTGTTTTGGATTTTATAATTTAAAATTTTAAATGAGAAATTAGATTTAATGATGTGGGTTCATTTTTTTTTCTTTATTAATGTGATCCAAGTGTGTTGTGCTTGAATTCTTTTCATTTTTTTTATCGTGCAGGTTGATCTGGAAAAGATCGTCAACATCACCCATGATTTTATTGGATGCGATCTAAATGCATCGTGCGCAAAAGCTGTGGAGATGAGGTGGACTGAGAATTGCAATGGTTATTTGTACGACTTTAGAAATATCGAAGACGTTGTCTCAGTGATATTCATGAATAAGAATTGGGAGAGAGCTTTTGCAGAGCAGAAAACAATCGTGTATAGTAAGACAAAGTCGTCTACCTATGAGACTGTGAATGTTTTGCTATCTGCATTTTAGCAATCATTATCTGTTCTATAGTTTTTTATATTTAAATTATACTTCATAAGTTGATGAGATGTATGATGTTTATTAGGACGATATCGAAGTTCTTAAGAATACTAAGAGGGAACTTCAAGAGGTGGTTGCTTCTATTATGTCCCGTAGGAACCGATACACGATTGCATATTAACAAATATGAGGGTTTGAGTACTTCTCAGGATGTCTGTTGGAGAAGATGAAGCTCGTGTTCATAACATCTTCAAGAAAGCTGGTCAGCTTGCCCCTTGTTTTCTCTTCTTCAATGAGATCGAGTTAATCGCAGTATGTATAAAACCCTTTTTCTTTGCATGTGCTGTAACCCATCTACAGCTAAGTTTTGTTTGTCTTTCTGCATTTGTTGTACGCGAGTGATGCAGTCACTGGAGTGTTGAAACAACTCTTTATTAAGATGGATAGTATGGACAAGAAACCTAACATCATCGCATCGACCTAGATCTATTGTTGCATAACAAGATTAATCTGGTGCTAGATGTCATGTTCTCTGGCAGGCTCAACCCATCCATCTACATTCCTCTGTCAGACAAAGAATCACATTACTGCATATTCAAGGATTGGGAGTAGAAATCCCAAATGTTTGTCGGTTCCATTGTTGATTTTAGGGTCCTCGCCCATCCGACGAACAGTTTAACTTGCGTCTATCCGCATGTGCGAGATAACCGTGAGATATACAGCAGAACGAGAGAGAACGCTTGGCTTGCATACCCTTAAAATATCATATAGTATACAAATACGTTCGCTTCCGTTTATATGAGATTTATATATTATTATGTTTATTATTTAGTTTGAAATTATTGAGACTTATATATTATTATGTTTATTATTTAGTTTGAAATTATTGGTATTAAAAGTTCAACTAAAAACTAATAATGTTTACTTAAATTAATGATCAATAAGAATAACACAAATATATTATCCTACAATTTTGCAGTTTGATAAAATCATTCACACTTGATTTTTCAAGAACATCTCATTCTCAATACAATTAAAAATAGAATTTGAGTGTGTATTTATAATTCTACCTGCATCACAATTAGAAAAAATAACGTCCTTTATTAGAGATTTAAAATCGGTTTTATATTTGTTTGATATTTTAAAGTTTATATATATTTAGGATTTTTAATATCTCAAAATTATCATTATTTTTTTGTCGTCAACATTATAAAAATTTAAAATACTTAGAAATGAAATTAAATAATTCAAAACAAAATAAACGGTAAGATATCATAGAGCATTGGTTTCGTTTGCCTTAAATCTATGGCGTCAGTTACCCACATTTCAATATTTATTTCTTATTTTCACCCAAAGAAATATAAAAAAAAATAGAGCTTTATTCACACAAAAGTTAGAAATTATGTTCATTTCATAGTAGTACCTTTATTTATGGGGTGCTTTTGTGCCAAAACGCCCGCTCCAACGGCTAGTAGGATAGCTTTTAAACAAACAGCGACAATGTCAACCGTTGGATATCCAAGTCAGTCAAATGAACGACTGAGATCTGACCAAAAAAAAGTCGACCGTTGGAGAAAGCCAAACGTTGCCTCTGAAATAGTATTAGTATCTCGCAAGCCCACTTTTCTCATTTCGCATTCGCCCAGAAATCTCTGAGAAAGAATCAAACGTTCATCGACAAAAATTTGGACTTCGAGAGAGAGAGGGTGGCGACTGATTGTGGAGAAACCGGGACGCGAAGTAGCCGTCTCCGGGATTTCTTTTCGTCTCTCTTCACGAGTATCGGAGGAGTACTGATTCAGATCCAAGATAAGGAAGAAGATTCAACGATGGCTTCGAGAGCTCAGCTCCTTCATCAGCAACGCGGAATTGAAGGTTCGTGTGTCTGATTCGCTTGAATTTGTTCTGAATCTTCATGGGTATGGGGCCTACTGGTTGATTTGGGTGTTCTGGGTAAAAAATTTATCCGTCGTTCAACTTTCGGGGAGAGTATCAGAGTTCGATTTCTCTGAAAATATCTTCTGAATCTTCATGGGTTTTAGTTGATCCATGCGTTTCGGATATCAGGTTTTTTCTTTGAATTTGGTACCCTTTCGTGATTTTGCCTGATTTCCGGAGATGGGTGGGTTCTTGAAAAATCAGGGGAGATGGTGAAGCCAACAAACGTTGTGGGAAATGGAAGGAACAACAGGAAGGTTCTTGGAGACATTGGCAATCTTGTGGTTGACCGTGTTGTTCAGAACGGAAAGGTTTTTTTTTTTTTACTTGAAACTGCGTTCTTTCCATTACTGGCTTCCCTTTAACTTTGAAATCTGAATTATATGAGGTTGTCTGTCCCCTCAGGATCTGCAGAAACATAAAACCGAAGCGGCTAAAGAATTCGTTGGCGTGACAAAGGCTGTAGCTTCACTGAAACTACACCAGAAGACGAAACCCGAGGTTATTGTCATTAGCCCTGATGAAAACGACAAGAGCTTCAGTTCTGTTCCCAAAAAAACTCCCAGAAGAAGTTCCAAGACGTTCAGTGCAACCCTCACAGCTCGAAGCAAGGTGTATATGCGCGTATATATGCATACGAATTTCCCAATTTCAGTTCATTTAGTGGCTATCAATTTCATCACTGTCTGTGTAACTCAACAGGCTGCAAGTGGAACTAAAAAGGGTGTGAAGGATACCGTGATTGACATTGATGCAGCGGATGCTGATAATGAACTGGCTGCCGTGGAATATGTGGACGATATCTATATGTTCTATAAGATGGCAGAGGTAATCTTCGTTTTCATCTTGCAATTTGCATACCCGCATCATTATTTTGCATCCTGTTATACCCGTTTATAACGTCGGACCGTGCAGGTTGAGGGAAAAGTCAGAGACTATATCGGATCACAGCCTGAATTAAACACAAAGATGAGATCGATTCTCATCGATTGGCTGGTCGAAGTTCACAGAAAGTTTGAGCTCATGCCCGAAACTCTCCACCTCACCATCAACCTTATCGACCGGTTTCTTTCGGCGAAAGTTGTCCCGAGAAGGGAGCTTCAGTTGCTGGGCATAAGCTCCATGCTCGTGGCCTCCAAGTACGAAGAGATCTGGGCACCAGAGGTCAATGACTTTGTCCTCATTTCAGACAATGCTTATGTCAGAGAGCAGATTCTGGCTATGGAGAAGTCAATCTTAGGACAGCTCGAATGGTACATCACCGTTCCAACGCCGTATGTGTTCCTTGCGCGTTACGTCAAAGCCTCTGTTCCTTGCGACGAAGTGGTAATAAGACTCTGCTTAAATGTTTGCCAACTTTCCACCGTATCTGTTTTTGTCCGAACCATTTCACCATTTTCAATCTGCGTGTTTTCCAGATGGAGAACATGGTGTTTTACCTGGCCGAGCTCGGGCTTATGCAGTATCCGCTAGTGGTCTCATACCTTCCGTCTATGTTGGCGGCTTCTGCCGTTTTCGCTGCCCGATGCATTATCGATGGGAAACCCTTTTGGACCGAGACCCTGAAGCACCACACAGGCTACTCGGAAGATGAGTTAACGTAATTCCGTTTTGCCCTAATCATTTCAATCTTGAATCCTTTGGATCTATCATAAAAGCAAACTAATGGATCCTTTTTCCTGTGTGTGTGGTGTTCAGGGAATGTGCAAAGACGCTGATGAAGTTACATGCTTCAGCTTCAGAAAGCAAGCTTAGAGCAGCCTACAAGAAATACTCTGTCCCAGAAAACGGTGCCGTTTCACTTCTCGTACACAAGGACTTGTCTGTTTCTTGCTCGTGAAGAAACTAACCCTAGTTTGTCCTGACATGGGCAATGCGAGTGATGCAATGTCTCTTTATTTTGGCTTATGAGAGATATTCCTCTATATTCTTTCTTTTGGATTTGGGGGTTGCTTTGGAAAACTTGTGTAAATTGATTTCACATAGTTTTTTGTTTCCATGTTTGCTTTGGACATCTTTTGAATTTCACTTACTTCTTGTAAACCTCTTCGTATGATCGAAAGTTTTATGTGATTTACTCGTTAGGGTTTAAATATTTATCATATTATGATCAAAATAGAGTAGAAGAAATATACCATCGAATCCGAGATCGAAAATCACCAAAATAAAATTACAATGACAATATCAAAATAAAACAAGAGAAAATTTGCTAAAGATGAATTGTGTTTGCAACATCTAGCTTGTTGTTCATCATCTCTGCAGCAACTTCACTGGAAAGGGGGGCAGTCTCACCTTAGAACAACATTGAGCTTGCTCTGCACTTGCTCCCTCACATTCCACTGCATTTGGAATCACATCAGTTGCTTCCAACACATTCCTTTTTCCTTTCCTCAAAATTTTCGGTACCAAAACAATCTGCCGTTCCTTTTAGAGAAACAAGCTATTGAGACAGAAATCCTTGCCCTCCGTTGAGGATCGTTCTCGTTACCAATGTCCAATGATATTATGAACTAACTACTGAATGCTATTGTTTCTCTTATTATGAAACCGATGCAACCTTAAGTTATGTTCTTCTGCTACTTAGGATGCAACATCGACACCAGGTAGCTCAATGTTCATCAACTAACCATAAATCAGGGTAAGGTTTTAGGGTCTAGGGTTTATTTGAGACAAAATTTTAGGGTTTTAAATAAGCTTTATGAGCTTTAGCTTCTCTTCTGTACTTTCCCCTTATTAAAAGGAAGAAGAAAACATAACATGATGAACATAATAATACCTGAAGGCCATTGATCTCTTCATCTGTAAGAGAGCGTTCCATGGAACGGTATGCGATTCTGTAACAATGGCTTGTCATCCCTTTCTTATTGGTGAAATTGTCTATCAACTTCACCTGCATGACAAAAAGAATGCCAATGGTTAAAGCATGAATTTGATTGTTCATACCGTGACGATACAACTAACCTAAGTCGAAACTATTTGCTTTGCATCGACCTATTGAAAGAAAAACAAAATTAAGTACCTAATGAAGCAGCTTTACTAGAAAAAAATGAACCATTAATCAGATATTCGGATCTTTGGGTCAACACAGACTCAACACTTTATTGTAACCGGTGTAAAGCACAGCAATGAAGCAGATGGAGCTTGAGAAAACACAAGGATATAGGCTTTATCCTTTGTTCAACATATGATATCGTGAGACAAAAGACCAGAACTTGAGCTGTTAATGCCTTAATTAAATCACCTCTAACTCAATTCTAGGTAGGTGGTCATGGCGACTTGTTAGAGGCTAACCATGACTTGTGGTCCGGAAAAAGGTTTCCGAAACCACTACCACTTAGAATGGGCCTACGGGGTCACACACCACTAAGGATGAACTTATACGTGAAGAATCCGAAGAAAGGAGTTGAGATTTGATCGAAACGAGCATGATAAAGTGTTCTCAGTGTGTTGGTCCGGAGATGACCAAGTTTGGTCAGCCCCGGACCACATTTGGTCAGCCCAGGCAGCCCGTGCTCAGCCCATGGTCATCTGTCCAGGTCTGGTCCGGCTGACCAAGAGTTGGTCAGCTCCGGACCAGATGTTGGATCAGGCGGACTCAGGGTTGAGTGCTGAGTCGGACCAGAAGTGACCAAAGAAGCTTGGTCCGGACCGGACCAAATGTTGGTCTGCCGGACCAAGACCCTAGGTCAGGCGGTCCGAAGACTTCGGACTAAACTTGGTCCGCCGGACCAAGCTCTTGGTCTGGCGGACCGGGTTCTGGAAAATTTTCCAAATTTCAGATTTAGGGTTTCTAACCCTATTTAAGTTTGAGATTTCGTCCAAACTTAATAAAGCCGCCCCAAAAACTCAGAGATAGATCGTAGAACCCTAGAGAAGTCGTTCTCTTCGATTTCAAACTTCCCGCAATTAGATCCGATCTCTTGAGTTACCCTTTTCTTCACAAATCCTAGCAGATCCGTTCCAAAGCGTTTGGAATCCTTCCCGTCGGTGTGAATACGGGTAGAGGGACTGTAACTAGGTGATTAAGAACAGGCCCCGGATCGAGATTTGCTTCAAGTTTCATTGAAAACGAGGTAAGTATCGATTCCCTCAGTGATATACACGATTATTGGGTTTGTACATGTTTGGTTACATGTGACATTTGATTAGGTTTATATTCCTTGTTCTGCTGCATGAAACCTAGTAAACCAAATCCTAGATCGGTATGATCACATGCTAGGAACCTGTATTGAACCCAAACACAATCTAGCATCTTGAGAAAAAAAAACCCTAAAATAGATAAAAGTACAAAATGCATGAAATACCTCTTCAACAAGATCTCCAGCGATTCCTCTGACAACTTCACATAAGTTGTTCTCAGTGAATGATTCATTGATCCAGAAACTCATGTCCTTGTAACAAGGAGGATACTGCAGAACAAGATTTTGTTTCCCGTCGTTAATTTATAGAACAAATGGTTCTCAAACTGAATTTTTTTTGTCCAATGTCCACAGCTCTATTAGCATCCGAGTTAAACGCAGAATAGACAATTGAAGGCTGGTGCCCAAAAAGGAACATGAAATTTGAATGTACTTGCGGATAGATAGATATTTTACCTTAGAGAATGGCTTGAATTTGACACCAAGCTCTCCTTTTGCAAACTGCAGCAGTTTAACATGTAAAAGAAAATGAAAAATGAGATGTCTATTTCACTATCAGATTTCACAAGTTTCAAACACAAAGTTCATCAAGGATTCACCTGGGAGGTAAATCGTTCATCACTTGACCAGAAGAGTCTTATATCAGGGATATCAAAGAGAACCATAGCGAGTCGCTCCAATCCAAGTCCAAAGGCCCAAGCAACATTATTCAGTTTCCCATTCCTTTTCAAAATTTCCTGCTCAGTCACCCCACAGCCCAAAACTTCCAGCCACTCCTCCTATCCCATTTTTTGTAGAAAGTATGTCAATATATAAAGCTGGGAGAAAGAGCCAACAAAAGCAAGATTGGAGTTCCTATTGCACATACAGCAGCACAACCTTTCAGTATAATAAATGTAAAATGTACCATACACGATAGATCCATATACTAAACATCTATATTTCTATAAAAAGGGAGAAGGTTCTGCAAAAGAGTTTGACTATGTATAAGCTGAAGGATATCTACTTGAGGGTTAGAACACAAGATGACACTAAACTTCAAGTGAAAAAAAGGTAAAGCTACCTTGAAATATATCTCAAGCTCAAAAGATGGATTGGTAAATGGAAAATATGTGTCAACCCACCGCATTTCCACAGCCCCTGTGAACAAAAGACAGCTCACTTGTAAAAAATCATGAGAATGTGATTACAACCCAAATCAAAGGGGAAGTAAAAATGACTGCATATCCCTATCATCACGATCTTTCTCAATTTTATGCTGTTGTTGCCTAAATGATGAGCTCACTGTACTTCTCGAAGTGATGAAATAAACGTCCTGATTACGTCTGACATAAACCGTGTTTTCGATGGAATTTAATCCTTCTCTTTTAACAGGTACTAATGTGCAAAAGGACAGAACTTGAACATTTGCTTCGGTTGAAGAGAACCCAAATTTACCAAACAAGTGGCGTGCCAATCCCTCGAGACATTTCTTTAAATCATCAGCAACATAAGCTGTGGCATCTGTGCCGGATACATTCCAGTCCTCAGGAGAGAAAACACGAAATCCTTCCATCTACATTGCATGGTACATACATGTCTACAGCATAAGAATGTCATGATTTTGGAAAACAAAACAATTATAGTAGACAACTGGGAACTCAAGGACAAAACCTGATGGAACACGGGATAGTGGGTGGAATCGATAGAATCTCTACGATAAACATCCCCAGTTACAAGGAAATGAGTGTGACCCTTCCTCAGCAGCTCAGCTTGGTGAGCACTTGTATGACATCTTAAGACAGTTTGTGCATGAACATAGTACGTATCATTGTAGCTTCTGCTTACATGATCCGCGGGAACTAGCACATCATCAAAATTCTGGAAAGACAGACGAAGTTCACAAATAAGTAAAACATAAATTAATTGAGACCACAAATCAGATACACAATCTTGAGTTTGCAGAATTTACTTGCTTTGTGGAAACGATTGGGCAAAGATCATCAAACTTCTCAAACTTGTTAGTGTAATTGGAATCGAAGTAGTCATATATAGCATTTTTTAAGATCCCAATCGGGTGCTTATCCCTTCTGTGGAGCTGCATTCCCAGCTTAGAAAAAATCGTGTCTGGTACATTGTTTGTTGGATCATCTCTCACCACATCTACAAAATTTGATAATTTCAGAATAACAAACATAAAACATAGAAAAAAAAAAACAAAAACCTAATAACAATCAAATGTTTGGATGAAACTTTTCGCATCAAATAAATTATATAATCCGACTCCACAAATCCACGATCTGGATCCGGATCAAGAAAGTTAAAAAATTTGCAAGTTTGGATTAGCAAAGAACAACCAAGTAAACTGATTATCCCATGTAAAAAAATCAACAAACAAGTAAAACTTTTTGAAACTCAAAATTGCGAACCGTCTCTAGAGATTTTGACGCCGCCAAGCTCAAGAGCAGAGACAACAGGCTGACAGTGCTTCTTTGTTTTAGGGAGAGGTGGAGAATAAACAGCAGCAGAGGAAGAAAAGGAGGAGAAGGAGAGTCGAGTGAATCCATTGCAACGTAGAAGACTGAAGGAAGCTCGGCTGAAGAGAGTGGACTGAGCAAAGAGGACAGCCATGGCTTGTCAAGCTGGAGAATTTGGGACCTGTTTATGGCATACGCACCGAACAAAATCACAGAATACAAGTTACATTTGGCTGTTTTGGCACTTGAACTGACTAATAAGTGTTTGCTTACTAAAGCAACAAGAGGCAAAGAATCTGATGAAAAACACAGACCCGGATAGTAAAGAAATAGGGCAGTTCCATAGAGTCAGCATAAAGATTGCTGGAAATGTTTTCGAGAAAGAACTAGAATCCATTTTCATCTTCGGTTGAACATCAACGCAAACCAATATTGCAAAGTTAGGATCTGAATAAACGCAAACATCAGCAATACTCGATGGTCCAAAGAATCTAAGCAGAATCTCACGTAACACAAACTAAACACAAGCCTCGATCAGAAAACTTAGACCCTGAACCGAATTCGCCGAAATCCACAGAAAGTCACAAACTCGTGACAAAAACATAAACGAAATAGCTAAACCCCAGGAACGACAATAAGCAGCTGATCAAATGAAGTACAAAGCACGACAACCAAATGTGGGTTCGCAGAAGCTTTTTCACAAACATCTGGTGAGCATAAGGCCTCTAAGGTTATACTCTTTGCTCTATTCAACAATTCTGCTGAGGAATTTTGTCCGAAGACAAAGACCAACAACAACTAAAACGAAACCAAATCGAACTCGGAATCATCCGATTTGCCTCTTTGTTACGAAAACACATAGAGAAACAAAACCCTATTCGAAACCCACAAAGGCACGCTCACCGGAATGGCGAAAACAGCCTGGCGGCGGCGGTCTGAAGTCAGTTAAGCGTCTATTATCTTGTTCGCCTGCCGTTTGGTTTTCAGATTAAGTGGAAGGATGGAGCGTGATGGAGAAGCGGGGTTCGGTTTAATCCGGTTTAGTTCGGTTTGCAGACAATTGGGAGATCCAATAGATAAGAAATTGAATTTGGTTCATTGGTTTTTTAATATATATCTTATTATATAAACTAAAATAGACTCTTAATCAAACCGAAATCCAAATCGAGAAAGAAATAGATTCGGTTTTCCTCTGTTAGGCGATTCTTGGGTTCACGTCGAGTCCATCGGTTTTTAAAATTTATATTTTTAATAAAATGTAAAATAGAATTAGTTCAAACTTGAAAAGAAGAGATATTTGATCAATATTAATTAAATTTGATTATTTTCTGTTTATATTTTTTTAACAGCCGAACAAGGAGTTGACATCATTACCATCTTCATTAAAACGGCCAAATATTTAACCAAAAGAGACTTCGTTAATCATATTTATGGTTCACTCCTCTCCTCGTCTCCCTTATTACAAACCAAACCCTAAATTTCGGTTCAGTTTGGACCTTGTAATACATTATCCCTCTCTTCGACTCTCTCTCTCTCTCCTGCGCGATTTTGACCGTCCGTCGATCGGCCTCCGCTCAAATCGTCTTCTCCGACCAGGTCCGCCTCTCCTTTCTCATCTCTCTCTCTGCCTCTCCGATCCGTGGATTGTTTGATTTCATCTCCCATCCCATCGAGTGCTGCGTTATTGTCCACTCGTTTGCCGATTCTCCGTTCCTCCATTTTCCATCATTGGGTGTTTGGGGAATACGCCAAATTCGCGACTGTAACGTTGTTCATTTATGTATCTCGTTTGATTCATGAATTGTTCAGACGCTCGAGCTCTGTTGATCAATCTGAGAAATTGGGTTCAATTGGGCGTTGTAAATTGGCTTTTGATTCTGGGTCTGTTCAATTTCCGTTGTTCATTTCTGTAATCGGGTCTATTATCATCGTCGCGTTGGCGTCGTTTTGGGCAAGATTTTTCAACAGTGGCGGCTGATTGACGATAACGTTCGTGTTTCGTCGTCGCATTTGCGTGCTTTGGTCCAATTTCCGCACCGATATTTGGGAACATGCAAACATGCCCTTCATTCAAACTATGTTTTTCATATATGATGTTGTGCATAGTTTTTCAAATTGAATTGTTACGGATGAGTCTCATTCCGAGTCTGGTCCTGTATGCATCTCCTGTTCGGAGATTGTGACTAAGCCTGTCTTTCTGAGAGGTTACAATTAGTGGAATCTTTTATGAATAACAAAAGCTTATCATCTTGGCCCGTTGTCTGTCCTGTAGTTGCTAATTGATGTGGAAACGTTCGGATTTGTTGTTTCCAGCTTGGCTTTTTGAACATTGATCGATTGCTCGTCTCTCTGACTTGTTCATTCCCTTTGTCATCTTTGTACTGTAGCTGTTGCTTTGTACATTCTGTGTGCTCAACCCTGTTTTTGTCCGACAAGACATCATTTCTTCAACGCACAAGCGGGTTTTTCCTTTAAAGGACATTGCTGTTTGGTTTTCTAATCCCCGTGTTGTGGAGTGTAACATGTCCAGGAGAAGTGCAGGGACGTGTTGCGGTAGAGTCCAGGAGAATAACTCTTGTGTTACTGTTAGGCCTGTCGCATTGACTGTTTGCTGGTTTCTAAATGACGCAGGGACGTTGTTGTTCTTCCCCGAGATGTCTCCTGCTTCTGCTTCAAAGTCAAAATCAAAGGAAAAGAAAGCTGGAAACGATGCCCAAAAGGCCTCCACGAAGCCTACAGTATCCATTAATGCAAACAGCAATATGCCGGCCAATGCTTACAATCCTCTTCTGGGAACTTTTCAGGTTCTTGATTCAGTCTCGATATTTTCTGGTTCGCCTCTTCATAATGGCCGTTTCAGAAGCATAGATGAGGCTGACTTGACGGGTGGGGTTGAGTCTGATGCCATTTCAAACAATGATAGCTGGTCAGGCGAGTCAGAAGATCACAAGGAGAAACCGTCCAACCCATCTGCACGGCAGGAAGTAATACCAGGTGCAGACAATGACAAGCGAGAAAAAATCCGTCAGAAGAATGAAAGGAAGCATCAACGGCAGAAGGAGAGGCGGGCTCAGGAGTTGCATGAGAAGTGCAGCACATATCTCATGTCTAGAAAGCTCGAAACGCTTACCCAGCAACTTGTGGCCATGGGAATTTCTCAAGAGCATGCGACAACGGCTCTGATGTTGAATGAAGGCAAGGTTGAGGAGTCTGTTCATTGGTTGTTTGACAGGAGTGAAGAAGAGGTTGAGAAGCAAAGCACTCAGAATACCGGGAACCTGAAAATAGCCATATCAGAAGAACTTGCTAGGATTACCGATATGGAGATACAGTATAAGTGCACGAGGCAGGAAGTAGAACGAGCAGTTATTACAGCCGAGGGTGATCTTGACAAGGCAGAAGAAACCTTGAAAGCTCAAAGAAAACAAAGACAACAGGTAACACTTCTATAATGGTTGATGAAAGATAGGGGGAGGGGCAAAACACAAATGGCACATAACAAGAAGAAAAACAAAACAAAACTGATAAAAGTAGTTTTGAGTTACTCTCACTTAGATCTTGTTGAAAGCGACGATGTCCACACTCTGAACGTACTCGTTGCGGGGCTCGGCGGTCAGGCTGTCTTCGATGAGCTCGTCCACCGAAACAAGATCATCTACAATCGTGATCATGATCTGCAACTTCTTTATCCCATATCCCACAGGAACCAATTTGGCTGCCAACACGAAAATGTAGAAAAAGGGTCAAGCTTTGCAAAATTTCCATACCAAAACACAGTCTAGAGTGGTCTAATTGTAACTCTCTTTATAGTTCAAAGGTTTAGAGGCGGTACTGAACGAAATTCATTTCAATAGTCTGAGAAAAGCAGGAATAGCTCATCAGAATTCAGCAGCACCAAGGCCACAGACAACACATGTTCCAACTCCTGGTTCACAACAAACAAGAGATGAAAGGGACTTTAACTATACGAGGTCAGCCCCTATGGTGGGAGGATCCTTGCAACCTCTGAATAAAATGGCTCAGCCTGTGAAGAGACTTGATTCGAAGTTAGAGTGGGCAAAACCTCAACCCTCATCCGCTGCTTTGGCTGATAAAAGGTGGCCAAACACCGGACAAGTCCCATCTGCTTCTTCTTACCCTTTGGCGTCACCATCATCGCAAGCATCTCTTCAGCCACTGAAGGTTGAATCCCGCTATGTGCCCGGTGGAAACAAAATCAAGAATCTTCAGCAGCCATTGAATAGGGAGCCAGTTACAATGATGCAGCGAAATCAAGTTGTAAGCGCAAAGCAGGTTCCACCTTCAACATCTCCTCCTAGAGCTTCAACCAGTTGGCACCCTGCAAACGGAATTGAGATTATGAAGTCTAATGGGTTCATGCCACCACATATCCCAAGCACTCGAAGCCCCAGTCCGAACAATCTGAACCCAAATCAGATCTACCAGCAACTTCAGTATCAACACCAGCAGCGATTCAACAGCATGGTAGATTCGACTGGAATGGCCGGTGGCAATGGCTTATGGACCAGAAACAGTCCATCTCCAACTGTAGCTGCTGCATCTTCCTTGGGACTGTTCTCCGGAGTAGGCTCAACGGCCACATCAGGCGCTTCTTCACCGGTGGATTGGAGCTCCAGGAATTCGATGGCATACCTAGACTACACAAGCATAGACTGGAGCCTTGATCGGAGCTTTTCCCCGAGCCCTAGGAACGGATTATGGCCCGGGTCAACTTCACCGCTGAAGAATAACCTCATGTATGAATCAAACATCAATGGGTATGGTCTGAATCTGAAAGCTTCGATGGGAGCCAGAGTCAATGGCAATGGTGTTCCTATGGCGGGCCTGGAGAACGGAAGCATTGTCGTGCCCTCGGAAACATCGACAGCCAATTCTCGGGACTGGACGTCGCCGTTTGAAGGGAAAGACATATTTAGCTTGTCTAGACATTATGTTTCTCCTCCGCTGTAAGAGTAAGAGAGTGACATTAAGCAATAAGAAAGGAAAAAGACAGAGAAAGAAGAACTGTCGACGACTTCGTGCGTATGTTTTGTTTCTCGAATTTATTTCTGCATTTCTCAATTCACATGCCATTATTGGCTCAAGAATTTAGAAACTAGTGGGGGGCAAAACAACTAAGCCAACATATATATATATATATACACATATATATATTGCATTTATTTCGACAAATCCATCACTGGTGATTCTTGTTCTGTAATATAACAGAACAATCCACACTAGTTTGGAATTTGATTAGAATAACCATAAGCTCTCTTCAGAAATACTGAAATAGTGCCCATGATACAGCAATTTTCAGGATGGCCAATGATGGTAACAAATTTAGAACAGAAGCCTTACCAGATAAGAAGGCATTCTTTGTAGTGTCCATCATCATCATCAACTTCATCATTATACATAAACTGTGGAGGATCTGAAGAACCAATGCCTACAATGGCGCTTCCACTTCTTGACATTCATTCGTTGCATAGGGAGGATAGATTTGTAAGCTTTTAACCAAAGGACCAACCCAGTTCGTATCTCCATCTAATGGGGTGATGGGGAAGGGAATATATTAGGCCACCTTACCCCTATATTTTAATGTAGAGAGATGGATTCGAACTTGCGATCTCATACCCTACCGTAGGAAATGGTTTCACCGCTGAGACAAGTCGGCCCTTCATTTGTAAGCTTTTAACAAAAGAAAAAAAAATAACAAAACCACATGTAGATTCACAATAATGGTACCAAAAGTTGTATTGGTGGCAGTTTTGTACATACAGGAGCAACTTGTTAGGCCCTTGGAAGAAGACGGATCAACTGCTTACTGGTTCAAGAGGTGGTAATAAACAGAAAACATGTGCAGAGGAACTCAGTTAAGACATACCTCTCAGACACGAAGACAGAATCATAGTCCCCACATCTCCAGCTGCAAACAACACATTGTTTCAAGCACTTAAGAGCAGGGAAAACTCGAAAAGCTAGTGGATTCAGCATAAATCGAAGATTCCAGAAATGCAAGATTCTGAATCTAAACATGATTTCACACGTATTTCTAAGCACTGGAAGAAGGGATTATACTCCTGCGTAGGAAGTAGAAGACAAGATCAATACTTCTCGAATCATACCAAATCATTAACGCAAACGACTAAAGATATTCACTGCTTGTGATATTATCCAGCATCAATAGAGGGCCCATCTTGCTGGTCTGTTGGAAACGCTGAAAATTTAGCCATAGAATCCTGAAATCCTCTAGAAGCAGAATATTAGGCATTAGTTTCAGTTTGAATTGCGCTGTAGCTTCAGCTGTTGAACATGCTTCTGGGGGTTTTATGAGCACCATCGGAATGTCCAAGGGATCAAGATTAGGGTGGAGTAAGGTCTTTAACAACCTGCATTCGGCTCCATTGACCTTCAGATGATGATAATTCATCAAACAAAGATGCATCAAGATTGTGTAATTACAACTCTGAAAAACAATAAAGGTTAAGACTTAAGAGCTTTATAATCTGAAAGAAAATCTTGAGCTGCACTTCAGACATACTTGGAATTGACGGAGACTCAGAACATGTATGTATCATAATATCTGATATACATTCGCAGACAAAACCATTGGCAGTGTTTGGTTTTTAATGGTGATATTGAGAAGTTAGTAGTGTCTCCTATTACCTAATCGTACCAAACAAAAGCCATGAATTCTTCTCGAAACTCATCTTACCTAATAACCTGAAAGCGGACACACGAGGGAGTCCAAAATAGGAACAAATCAAGCAGTTTTTCTGCATAGTAAAAGCTTAATACGAAACAGAGAATCTAAATCATGATACCCATCTTTCCCTTTTGCCAGCTATTCTCAAGAAGTCATTGATTCTGACAAAACAGGACACACATCAGTTGGTAGAATCCATAGCCAAAAGAGCTCAAAATGCTATTGAAGACGGAGGAGGTAAGAAAATAGACATTTCAATCCCAAGCCATACGAATATAATCAAACCCCGAGAAAATTTCAGATTTCCAAAGGGAAGAACACCCGCTGTCAAGTTTCTACTATCTGCAAAAAACAAATCGATGAAATGAACAAAACCCATCAGAATCTGACACGCAAAACAAGAGAAACAATCAGGTAACTCTTTAAATCCAACCCAGATACACTCGGCTATCAGCGGAAATCTTGGAAAATAACGAGAACCCATGAACAGTTCGATATCGAATCAGAGAAAAAATAGCACGAGTAACAGAAGTAGCGAGAGTAGAGACAGAGAATTGAAACGGCTAAGTAATAGTACTTATACTTGGTTTCTGGAAGCTTTCAAAGCAGAATTCTTCAGTAACCGAAGAAGCCTCGGAGAGAGAGGCGAAGAGGAAGAAGACAGAAGACGACCAATGCGGAGGAGGAGAACGTGGAGAAGATATATACTCTCTCCATTTTTAGTTACGGATTTTAATAATAATTAATGTTTTAATTAGTCAGTTGCTATATTTAAGCACTAGAGATGCTGCTGTCATTAATTATTATTTATGTTACATTATTGTTATGATCTAAAGTATTTTGTATTTATTGATTATATTTGTACGGAATATCTGTATTCGATTATAATCTACGTCAATATAATGAAAAAAATTAGGGAAAGTTATTTAGTTATTTATTGATTAAAATTCTGTTTTTATAGAAATCCGAAATTATTACATTTCAACGTTATCTCAATTTTTTTCTGTTCGCATTATCTTTTCATTTATAATTTGAAGTTTTTTATAATATAAATAATATTACATACTATCGATTTTTTTTATATTTTTTAGATAAATGCATTGTAATCCAAACTACTTTTACTAAATTAAATGTTAATATTTTTATCAACTTTCTACTCACAATAACCAATATAATATATAACTAATATATCCAACTTTAAATGTCATATATAATAATAAAATTATTGTATAAAAATTTAATGAGATATTTTCATATCATATTTTAAATTTTGACATATTTTTAGAATTTAATTTTTTTATATCATCGCAATATCATTTCGCATTCACATTTGATAAATGGAAAGAAATGCAATATAAATATGCTCCAAAAAAGATTAAGACATTATAATATGCGAAATATTTAATTGTAATATTCCATAGAGAATAATTTAGATTTTACAAATCTTCGGTCGACTTAAACTTGAATTTGTTACTCTAGACCAGTAATCCATTTGATCAATATTACAATATCTCACATAAGAAAATATATGAATAATAATTCTATATTAAATTTAATGTCTTTACACCATCACAAAATAGCCATAAACTGTTATATACATAGAAAATTGCATAAAAAAATAATACTCTTATGGTAAGTTCATATGCGAATACGAAACATTTCTACAATTATAAGGATTACAATAGATTATTAAATTAAAATAACAATCAATCATATAGCCATAGAAAATCTTATAAAAAATCAATTCGTTAACTAGGAAAATTCTATATTTAGTTAGGGATTGACATTTCAAAAATCGGTTCGAGTCTACGATGGAAATATATCAATTCAGTTTTTTTAATTTTACAAAAATAGATACAAATCAGTTTTTATATTATGTTTGGTTAGATTCAATTTCAATATTTATTAAAAAAAAGATAGAATTTTTTTAAAAAAAATTATTTTTTCGAGAATTTTTAAAATTCGGTTTGGTTCATTTCCGTTCTGAAAAATTCGATTTTCTATAAATAATACCGTTCGAAAATTTTGAATGATTCGGCTCACGAACAATACCGTATTTTTCGATTCGGTTCTTCACAGCTGAACCGAAAACGTCCACCTATGTAATCATGACACCTATCTAATCATAAAATGTTCAGACAAATCAATGATCCAATCAATTTACACACGCACGCACAAAACAGAACAAATCATATCTAATTAAACAGAGGATGGAACCATTTAAACCCTAAACGAATCAAAACCATGAACTCCGCTTGTTATCCAGAAGGAAGAACATTGAGAGAGACCAATCAAGCAAAGTACTACTTTCTCAACTTAAAGAAAACAAAGACAACAGGTAACACTTCTATAATGGTTGATGAAAGATAGGGGGAGGGGCAAAACACAAATGGCACATAACAAGAAGAAAAACAAAACAAAACTGATAAAAGTAGTTTTGAGTTACTCTCACTTAGATCTTGTTGAAAGCGACGATGTCCACACTCTGAACGTACTCGTTGCGGGGCTCGGCGGTCAGGCTGTCTTCGATGAGCTCGTCCACCGAAACAAGATCATCTACAATCGTGATCATGATCTGCAACTTCTTTATCCCATATCCCACAGGAACCAATTTGGCTGCCAACACGAAAATGTAGAAAAAGGGTCAAGCTTTGCAAAATTTCCATACCAAAACACAGTCTAGAGTGGTCTAATTGTAACTCTCTTTATAGTTCAAAGGTTTAGAGGCGGTACTGAACGAAATTCATTTCAATAGTCTGAGAAAGTTATGGCAAAAACTCACAGGCTCCCCACAAGAGACCGGGCATCTCCACGCTACGAACAGCCTCTTCAAGCTTCTTCATATCGGTTTCATCATCCCACGGTTTCACATCCATGAGCACAGAGGACTTTCCACCTGGAAAAAAAGTGGAGGCATGACATAGAAGGTTAACACAATCATTCAAATGTATCTAAACCTAATAACATTGTAAATTTGTAAGAACGCTAGAAATTTCATGGTTTTAATTTAATTTATGTAATATGTACAACGATGCTAATAACACTTACTCTCCTTGCTCTTCTTGGTATCCTTCTTGGCTGCCTCTCTCTCTTCGGCTGCCTTCTTCTCCTCCTCTGTCTCGTCACCAAAAAGATCCAAATCATCGTCATCATCTCCGGCTGGGGCCTGTAGACAGCATCATCAATGCAAAACAACCAAAACTTAGATTTACAACAGTAACAGAAACTTATATCTGCATTACAAATATCACCACAGATGAACAGCATCTGAGAACAAGTACCATACATTACACAGAAATATTCTAAGATCAAATCGAAGATTCCAAAAACAATGCAATTGTTAATTCACAAGGACAATTTTTCAGACTCCTACACAATATATAGACAACGAACACTTAAGTTTCACAATCTGATTTCGAAAATTCCAGTAAGATAATGAAACTAGTTAATACAAACTTAAAAATAATCCCATTTCGTGACTTTCCCACGAGGAGGACATATCTAATCAAAGTCTAATTCACAGGTAAAGAAGCCAAAGATCAAGCCCACAGCATAACAATCAGTAAGAGTTCATAACCTCAAAACACTTCAAGCATTTGATCTCCAATGATCCTAATTCCTAAGAAACCCAAAAACAGCTGAAAACAACACAATAATGTTGGAAAATTTGTAGGATTCATCGTTCTTTACTCTCAATTTTAGCCAGTCGCCACCATCATTGATGATGTTATATATATACACACGTGGATTAAAGACCTGAGTTTAGGCTGCGATGTATAGACGGATTGGGTTTTTTGCTTTCTTTTTAAACTTCTTTCAATGCAGTTGTTGATACTAGGTTCAGCCCCCTGTTGATTTAAGAGCTTAGAACATAAATGACAAACATGTCTGCAGGAGTAGCCTGACCGCCGAATCTCACACCAACTGCTTTCCCCGGAAAGCTACAGATGTGATAAAAACAAAACACGAAATGGGTAGGAAAACATCAGATCATCACGCGAGAAATTTCGATCTAACACTACAATACATTGTAAACAGATTTTAAATTATCCAACCCGAATCCAGGAAGGAAAAGGATTCAGGCACGAAACCCTAACCTTTTCGCCAGTTGGGATTCGACAGACGCGTACCACTTCCCGGCATTGGGAAAGGCATCACCGGGTTTCTCCAAAACGGCGGCGAAAACCTTCACGTCATCTTTAGTGATCTCATCACTACACAGAAATCCAAGCAAATTTCCAGCTTTCAACAGCCAGTTATCAAATAGAAATGAGGAAAAAACTTCCCAGATTTCAGAATAACGAACGGAAGATTGAACATCCGAATTTTTTTCTTACCCGGAGATGAAAGTCTTGCCAGAGAGAAACTCATCAAGGGACTTGAGTCCGTTTTCATTGTGAAGATCGGAGAAAGTTACAGCCATTTTTCACGGAAGAAGCTTTGGTCGGCGACGAGAGAGTCGGAGAAACGAGGGAAGGCTAAATTTGTACGAAGAAGAAAATATTATATGGATGTGAAACTAAACCCTAGAAGATTGTCCGGTGTGTGTTATCTGGGTATTCTTCGATCGGTATGCGGATACTGTTAACCGGCCCGGTTCGACCGATATCAATTTGAAATTCTGTTCTCTTTTTTCTTTGGTATTTCTGGAATGGATTTTATGAGATGGATCATTTATTTTTTAGGGAATTGCTAAAGTTGACTTCAAACTCAATAGAATTAATTAAATAAAACATTTCAATTGCTAATTGCAGCAAACAAACTTGAATTTCTAATTGTACCAAACAAACTTCCGCTTTTATAAAATGATAAAAATGAAAAACAATCTGCACTTGTCGTATGATTTAAACCTACACATTTTCTTTTTTTTTTATATAAAAATGGATTACATGATATCTTATTATATTCAAATTATATATTATTTAATTCATATATACACACAAAATCATACATATACAAATTAAAAAACAAAAATACACATATATTCATATACAAACACATTTAATCAAAACAAAGAAAATATATATAAATCATTTGAATCGAATCTAATTTTAACACTAAATATAATAAAGTGTCTTAAATTAAATTATTTGATTATAATTATTTTTAATTAAATTAAATTAAATATACATGGTTGAATCAAATATATAAGAATACAAAAATAAAAAACTCTTAAAAATAATTATTTTTCAAAACATGAATACAATTTGATAAAACCCAAAAGAAAAACTTTGTTTTCTCCAAACAGAACGACCAAACCCTAAACCCTAAAAGTTAAGTGAAATCACTGTCTAACTTCCAAGAATTGTAAAAAAAACAAAAGGGTATAAATTATATACTTAATCACAGAATAACACAGAAGAAGCATTCTTGTAAAACCATAAGCAGAGAACTGTAATATTTAGACAAAAATGTCTCCATGGAACAAACAAGGTGACTGAAAAAAATGAATCGACCCCACCCAAGATTCATGAACCTCAAGTGGAACCTCTTCCTCTGGTCTTGATCTCGCGAGTTTCGGAAAGCTCATTCATGTCTTCTTCATCTTCTGCTTAGTAGCCATAGGTATGTTTCATATCGCCGTCCAGAAGTTCACTTACCATGTCTCCATGAAAGGATTTGTGTCTTTTGTTCGATTCTTCCTGCAGATTTGTCGTGTCCTGTTCGAGCCCGGAGTTGTATCCTGTAAACAGAGAAAGAACAGAACGACCCGTGTTAAAACCCGAATACAGAACGTATTTTTCAGCCGTCGCTACAATGTTCTGAACGTTTCAGTGTTCATAGGTTTGGCTTTCTCCATTCCAAAAGACTGACCTGAAATGGGAAAAAAACTTGGGTTTATTTTTTTGGGAAAATCCCATATCCCCCACGTATTTGCCAAAATATACCAATTTCCTACATGAATTATTAATTTGACAAGAACTTACATCCAAATTCGAAAATTTCCAAATTTTCACACTAATTCGGTAAATTCGTTGCAATGTCCTACACATCAGTACACGGCGTGAAATGTTGAGATGTTCCGTTAAAGTCTCACCTGACTTGGCAGGACACGTCGGAAATAATATACACGTGTATATGCCACGTGTCAAATCTTAAAACCCAAAAATCTGAAAAATTAAACCGGATCGGTAATTTGAAAACCAAAGAAATTGAAAAAAAAAACGAAAGAAAAAAAAAACCTAAAATCCCTAACCCTATCGCGACATTTACTCTCCTCACTCTCCTCTCACTCTCCTCTTCCGGCGTAAAATCAGCTTCAACAACTCAAATTGTCAGAACAAACATATCAGAAAAGTGGGACTAAACCCACAATCGCGGGGAAGAGAGTACCGTAGAGGGGGAGTGTAGGGGAGGAGAGTATCGGACAGGCGAGACTCGGGGGTTTTGTTTCGCCGAGGAGACCGTCGAGTCGGAGGAGCCGAGTTTCGTGGCGCCGAAACAGGCCGTCGCCTGGGCACAGTCTCGCACCGGAAGAGAAGCCTCGCCAGGGGAGGGTATCGCGCCGAAACAGGGTGTTACGCCGGAAGAAGCCTCGCTGGGGGAGGGCGTCGAGCCGAAACAGGCCGTCGCCTGGCCAGGGTGTTACGCCGGAAGAGGGACTCGCCGGGAAAGTGTTAGGGATTTTAAGATTTTTTTTCTTTCGGATTTGTTTTCAATTTTTTGGTTTTCAAATTACCGATCCGGTTTAATTTTTCAGATTTTCGGGTTTTAAGATTTGACACGTGGCATATACACGTGTACATTATTTCCGACGTGTCCTGCCAAGTCAGCTGAGACTCTAACGGAACACCTCAACGTTTCACGCCGTGTACTGATGTGTAGGACATTGCAACGAATTTACCGAATTAGTGTGGGAATTTGGAAATTTTCGAATTTGGGTGTAAGTTCTTGTCAAATTAATAATTCATGTAGGAAATTGGTATATTTTGGCAAATACGTGGGGGAATATGGGATTTTCCCTATTTTTTTACCGAACTGTTATTTTTCCAGTTACTGAAACTGTAACTACGCATACTTTAGAGAGTGGGAAATGCTACCTGATGAGCTTGCACTGATGGGAGTAAGCTGAGTGATAGCTGATGAAGAGGACTGAAGCAATGGAGAAACGGAATCCATATCTGTCTCATGTCTCAACCCCAATGAATCCAGGGTTTCGTGTAACTGCCCAACATCTGTGATTGATAGAGAACCGACTCTAACAGGCCATTGTTCTGTAATGACGGACAATCTGACAGAGTCTTACCTGTCAGAGGGGATTGGATCAAAGTGTCGACTGACTCAAGAGGCAGCATCAGGGTGGAAGCATCGGCTTCCCAAAAGCCAGTGTCTTGACCATCGTCGACATATTGGAGTGAAGGGAGCTCCCACTTCTGGCCCCCGTCTGCAAGGGGTTCAGAAGAAGAAGAAGAAGGATAGGCAGCATTGCCATGCAGGTGGCTATCGGGTGGAACGTTAAACCAGGGCGACTGTTCCAGGGTGCTGAGAGAATAAGGGTAGGAGACGTTCATCCAAAAGGGATCCTCTCTCGTCGTCTCATAAGGATCTTTATAGAAATGTATCTCGGGGTCGTCAATCGTTCCAGAAAACGGAGTTTCCAGTTACCGGGAGAATTGCAAGTTCGGTATGGATCTTGGCGGTACGAAGTTGAATGATACAGGTGACATGTTACCCTCTCTCGGGAACATCGATGGGTAGGATAAATTATTTGGATTGAGCTCTAACTTCTTAAATACTATTTCCGGGATCTCAAAAGTACCATCTGACCTCAAAGGACCTCGGCCTTGAGCATCGTCACTAGCCAATTCGTCTGTATTTTCATCACTTTGAGCTGCATTCAACACCTCCTGGCGAATATTGTCGGGGTAAATCGGTAAGCCAGCTCGTTGCATTCTCTTGAGTCTCGTGTTCCAGAAATTTTTTATCTCATTGTCTGTTCGCCCGGGCAGCTGAAAGTTATCAAAAGAAAGAAAGGAGGAAACCCAAATGAAAACACGAGATCATATGCGACTCTTTTTCAGATATATACCGATGTACTTATCTAATCAGAACTTGAAGCAAATAAGCAAATTAACATTAGCACCTCTACATACGCAAACACAGAAACTTACCTCTGTCGCCATGCACGCCCATTTATTACCCATAAGAGCATGGAGTTCAATGACGCGACGTTCTTCTTCACAGGTAAAGGCACCTTTCCTCAAATCTAGTCTCAGATGATTTACCCAACGGAGGCGGCAGCTTTTCCCGCATCGAGAGAGTCCAAAGTGCTTTTGAACAGCATTCCAGTTTCCCTCCCCGTGTTTTTTAACATATTCCGACAGAATCGCGTCTTCGTTTGATGTCCAAGGTCCTCTCTTCAAGGGTTTTCCTTGACTACTGCCGCCACCTTCGCCTGATCCAGAATCACTCCAACCTTTAGGCATCTCGTGCAAATGTTATCTTTCATTCTAGCAGTCTTCTGATGGAAACTGTTGTCAAGGTACCGACATTAAGACCGTAACCCAAGATAGAAGAAGAACAATATCCATGGAGCCATTGAAGATATCTACATTCTCTAAAGTCATGGTTCACTCTTTTAAAAGAACAAAAGATGAAGGAGAGCTGGGCAACAGCAAGAGTCAAGAATCATACTTCAACAGCAAAACAAAAACATGTTTTGCTTAAAAACTCGATTCTTTGTAGATGCCAACCTATGATTTTTGTAACCAAAATCTAAGACCTTGTTTCCATTGTCAAGCCACAAGAAAAAAAAACTCATGCTCTTGGAGGCCACAGAGAGGGGATGACTTTTCTTGAAACCGCGAATTTCATTGGAGGAACATCCACAAACAATTAATCATCAAGAATTTAATAAGTAGGGTTCAGAGAAAAACTATCAGAACAAAAATTAAACTATAATCATTGTGTTTCGTCATATGATAATCAAACATGGGTTCTTATCAGAAGCATGCAATGATGAAAAAAATCTGGAATCACATTCACAAGCTAATGATTGTTCTGCTAAAGATTTCGAGATTGCTTCAGACATGGATGAAAGCTCTTATGGTATGAATCTGAAATCGTAAAGACAAATTACAAAGGAAGAACAAAGCAAGATAGATTCAGCACATCTCCCAGACTACATTGTTGAAGATCGTCAAGGCAGCGTATAATGCAGTGTACTCATCTTGTTCGATTCCCGACAAATTTACTGAAACATATAAAGAAAAACATACCTCAATGAATCGAACACCAACCATCACGTAATTCAGACCACAAAAGCTCAGCGATTCATACGTTAGTGGTCCCTTTCCTTCACTTGTTTGATGAATCTCAACAAAGGAGGCAGGAACAGAATCTGAAACTACAATGTTAAACTCCTCCGAGCTTCGATTATGTCAAAGGTTCAGACAATGTCGATCACGTGAATTCGAGATCAAAACCCTAGTGGAAGAAATCGAAATTCAGTCGAAATGCCAAAAGAAAAATATTTAGAGAGGTAATTGAGCTGAATAAGCCGAAGAAGAAAACGAAGGGGAAAAAAATGACCTGCTAATGGAGATTTCTTTACGAAACCCTAACCACAATCGATGAAGAAAAATGGCCAAGATTTAAACATAGAAGCCGGCGAGGAATTGCATTTAGAGATCGAAAACTTAGAAGGACAGAGAGTGGGAGAGAGAGAGAGAGACCGAAGAGAAGAGAGAAAAATCAGCTAGAAAATAGGATCGATCCGTTCAAATGCAGATGAAAAAAAATCGGAGAAAAAATTTCGTGGAAAATTCAGATTTTCCGAGAAGATCTGCTCTAATCGAATCACGAGAGCTGGGACGATCAGAGAGCGAAACTAGCGGAGAGAGGCGAGGAGATTTTAACACTCTACTCTGGAATTCTCTTCCTTGAAATTGAGCTAAATGGTGTTTTCTCCCCGAAAAAACTGGGTTTTCACTTTCCCGCACCCCGAGAAACGATTTTCCCGGCATCCAATCAACGAAGAACAGATAAAATGGAAGATTGGGTTCGCTGTGTACATTTGGCAACTCGAATTTATTATGACAATAAACGACGAAAATCGATAAGAACAATGAGAAATCTCCTCTTTGGGAGGAAAAAAAATGAAATTTTTGTCCATTTTTACTGGGAAAGATCTTGATTTGTGAGATGGGTCTTGGGTGTTCTTCGCATTCAGAGCAATGTCTCTGAAGGGTTTTTTCACACATATAAATAGCGGTCGATGTTATAACACACATATATATGTGCATATATATATAAATATATTATGTTTGGGTGTCCCTTAGGTTGTACTATTTCTTTCTTCACGGTTCGGTTCTACGTTTCGTCATTCCTTTGGGAAAATCACATGAACGACTAGCTTGAATTTCTTCCCGGCAAATGCTTCGCCATGAACCCTCCTCCGCCGCCGCTGCCCGTCTTGCTAAAGTCCGGCGATCAGTCAGGCGCTCTCGACGGAGATTTCCGGAACCTTGGAGATCTCTTCCTCGGCGCTTCAAATCTCTTATCGCGTCTGGAACATGATTGCTCCGCCCTAGACGACCGGCTTCTCCATCTTCGGCATGATCTGATGAAACATGTCGTCTCGTGGATCTCCCGCTCGTTTTCCACGAGATCTTCGTTGCAGAATCTTAGGACGAATCTAGAGAATCTCAGTCTAGGTACCGCTTCTTCGTCTCCCTGTCGGTTTCCAATCTGTAACTTCGGAGCGATTGTTTTATTGATTTACCTTTTTCTTTTCCTGAATTTCTCCATTTCATTGCTGCTGTTTGTAGGTGGGTCTCGTCCGTTGATGAACTGGGAATTGCAGAAACTCGTGGAGGAATTGTGTCGAATTCAGAGCATGCGTAAATATTTCGGTGAGTTGGGAAGATCCTTCAACTTCAGCTTGAATGTATATCCATGGAGTTTTTTTTTTTGTCTCTGATAGATTTGGACGAGTTCTTATCATGTCACTTGCTGTTAAGTGGGCCTGTAATAGTCCTTACCTGAGGGTATTGAAATGAATGGTTAAGAACAGAACAGATGTGTCTTCTAAGCACTTTGTCATGTTTGAATGAGTGTTTGCCCTGAAAAGAAAAAAAGGGTATAAGAAGTTGCTATGTATGGCATCTGCATCTTGAAGCTCAGTTGAGCCTTGGCTGAAGATTAGTTCATCCAGGAGTTTGGGAGGGATAACTTTTGTGGAATATCATGCTTTTGCACTTCTTTTCTGTGGAATTTTCTCGGATATTTTCTCTTCTTTGTTGTTAAGAACGGATGTGGAATGGGTGAAAGTTCTTGTTCGCGTATCCACAGTCATAATTTATCCATGGATGGTTTGAGATTTGCCCTTTTGGGACTTCATTTCTGGTTCGTAGGACATTGTGACTTCTGTGTTTGATGCTTCCCGGGAAAAGCCACGATCAGGTTAAGATTGTCTAGTCCTGGTTCTACTCTCATTTTTTGCGAAAATTCGTTCTAAATGCTTTCCCTGTTATTGAGGATCATGGTAATCTGATAAATGTATTTGATATTTCAGTGACTGCTCTAAAATTGGAAACTCTGGTTGGGGATCTTGAAGATTCAGTCGTTCACCCTATAAACAATCACAAAGGAAGTATGCTCCAAGTGAAGCTTCGTAATCCACGGGTTTCAGCAGTTACAACTTCTTTATCTACTTCTTCTACTACGATCCATGATTGGAGTTATAAGTATTAAAAACTCGAAAACTCAATTTCGTTGTGCAGGATTTTGCACTAAAGCAAGAGAGGTTCAATAATGTCATTAGAGCCATGAACGACATTGAAGAAATACTCGTAGAGGTTACACGATGTCATTCACAATGGCGTTCTCTTATGGAATCTGTTGATAATAGAGTGGAAAAGAGTTTGTCTATTCTCCGGCCACAAATTATTGCAGAGCACCGAGCACTTCTCTCTTCTCTGGGCTGGCCCCCAAAACTCTCAACGTCCAAAGTAGGAAATGTAGAGGTCTCTAATATTCCAAATCCTCTACTTCTGATGGAAGGAGATAAAAGGGAGTCTTATTCCCAAAGCTTTATAGTCCTATGTGCTTTACAGCATATTCAGACCAGACAGGATAAGAGGAAGAAGCTTCTTGATATGTCCAAACAAAAGGCTGTGAGATTGTGGGCAATCGACGAACTGGTCGTACCTATTGCATCTCGAATGGAGTATCATTTCTTGAAATGGGTTGAACATCCCGAGTTTAGTTTCGCCCTTGTCTATAAAGTTACAAGAGACTTTGTTGACGGTGTGGATGATGTTTTACAGCCTTTAATTGACAAAGCTCGGTTAGCGAGCTGCAGTGCTAAAGAAGCTTGGGTTTCAGCTATGATCCAGATGCTATCCAGTTTCTTAGAGAAGAGGGTTTTTCCGGGGCTTGTAGAACGATATAAGGAGAAGCATATGAAATCCGAAGTCATCTCATCATGGCTCTATCTCGTAGATCTTATGGTTGCATTTGATAAACGGATGAGATTACTTGTAGGTGCAGACACTGCAATCTTCCAGGAAGCCTCAATGGAAGTGTTTTATCAAGACATATTAGTCATGGAACTGTTTTGCAAGAAACCCGAGTGGCTCAAGACCTGGGGGAAGATCGAGCTGAAGGATGCTTATAGGAAACTGAAAGAGGAGATCAAAGACGAGAAAGCCTGGTCGGTTTCCGAGAATGAAAGAACTAAGGCAGGTCTTGAATCCAACAGACAATCAGCAAAGTATGCTCTATCTACAAGGGAAGATTACAAAGCACCGATTCTAGCAGAGACTGCTCTCAGTATGACCCAGAAATTAATAGACCGGGGCCTATCTTTACCGTCTATTCCACCACGAGTCCAGTTTGTGAGGGCTACAGCCGCAAAGTTCCTCTGGTATTTCATTAAAGTGCTGTTCTTACAGTTGAAGAAGACAGAACTCTCTTATGACAGCCCGGACGAAGACAGGCTGATCAAAGTGTGTGGACCAATCAATGCTGCTCAATATATCGAATCAAAACTACGAGAATGGAGCGATGACTTGAACATTGTAGAGATGAGCGTGACGGAAAACAACCATAGCTGCTTCTTCGAGGATGAAGTTAAAGCTCTTGTCGATATAGAAACCGATTGGCTTATGGAGATTATCACAGTTCTTCTCCACCAATTCGAGACTCATTCAAGTGACTACTTTCACAATGAGGAAGAGGAGAATCTTACTGTAGGTTCTGATAATGTATCTGTGTCCTCAGGTTTTGCAGAAGCGTTGGACAGTCTAAGAACTCGGCTCTGTGCCCTCGAGCTGAATCTTAACCCGAAGGACTTCTTGGGCATGTGGAGAAGTCTTGCAGAAGGGCTAGACCATTACATATCCCGGAAAATCTTCTCGGGGGAAAGTTTTTTCCCGAGAAAATGGATCGATGGGCTCGGGGGCAATGCACGGGCGCTACTCATGGTGTTTAAACCTTACTGTGTTCGTCCCGAAGCATTTTTCCCTTGCGTTAGAGAGATTCTGAGGCTGGTGGGAATGAGCGAGGAAGAGAGAAAACTTATGAGAGGAGAGTTGCGGAAAGAGAGTGGCAGAAATGGTAAGAACTGTTTGAGTTTGTTTGGTCTCACCCACTTGTCTGCCCAACAAGTTGAGCAAATTTTGATGTGTTGAAACTTTTCTTTTGCATTTGCTCAATTTTTTGTTTAAATTATAGCTTAGGAAAAACTAAATAGTTATGATTTCTTTAAACACGAAAAAAGCAAAACCAAATCCAAACAGAAAAAAATTGATAATTTTCTTTGAAAAATTAAATTTTTTATAACAAAAAAATCGAAACTAAACTGAATTGAAAAATAATTGAACCGAATCGAAATTTATATAAAAATCGAATAGTCATAAGTTTTCTATAATCGAAATAAATAAATCCGAATATAACCAAACTCGAACGGAAATCCGAAATAACCATTCCTAATTTAAATTATGGTTTACGTGAAATACATAGTGTTTAAATTATGATTAACTGAAATATATAGGGTTAAATTAGGATTTAACCGAAATATATATAACAAAATATTTGTTGTTTTAGATTATTTCATATGTTTTAAAATATTTGTCATTCTACAGATATTTTTTTACAATAATTTCTAATTTTATCTTTATCAAATTCTAAAAAATTATTAATGATAATGTTATTTTTATCATCAATAAAAATATTAAATAAAGATATATATTATTTTTTTCTAAAAAAATAATAAATAACCTATAACTACAGACATTTCGAAAAGGATGGAGCATTTTTTAAGGATGAATTGATTTCGATTTTGTTAAATATATAAAATTTTGAGTTGATAGAAACAAAAAATTCAGTTAGAAAATAACGGAATTAATATTAAATTCCGAAATATGAGCCTGTTGTCAAGCTTTATGATTATATCATATCTTCAATTAGTTTTGCAGGATAATATCATTATTTCCTAATCCCTCTGTAATCCTAATTAAAAGTTTATATTTCTGTGTCGGCGTTACTAAAAAGTTATAGTTAATTGAAACTATTTAAGCAATTAATGTTTTAAATTGATATGAAAACGCAATTTAGGTCTACGATCAAATTCATCAAATTGACAATGGACCGTCTCTCCAATGTTTTCTCTCTCCTCGCCTTCGCCGACGAAGATGCTCCGACCAAGGCTCCAGCTCCGGCTACTTCGTCTTCTCCGGCCACAGCTTCTTCACCATCGTCTTCATCTTCTTCTGGTATATCGTGTTCTTTTGGTTCGCTTAATCTCCTTATCTGCCTGGATTGCAAGTTGAAAGTCGATGTCTTCATCATCACTGTGCAAGTTTTAGGGTTTTTTTTGTCGTAAGAGGAGTCTGCGATTGCTTTTCGTCTGCTTTATGTTTTTGTGGGCATAATTCGTGATGGGTCTTTTGATTTTGTCGCTGGCTTCTTCACTTCTGTGATCATCTGTTAGTTTTCTAGTTTAGATTTGAGCTTAAGAGAACAAAATTCTTCGTTTGCGTTTGTCTTCACTCTTCACATTGAAAAGTTTGATTTTTTTTATTTTTTTTTTTAGAGTAATGTTGGAAAATTTGTAGGATTCATCGTTCTTTACTCTCAATTTTAGCCAGTCGCCACCATCATTGATGATGTTATATATATACACACGTGGATTAAAGACCTGAGTTTAGGCTGCGATGTATAGACGGATTGGGTTTTTTGCTTTCTTTTTAAACTTCTTTCAATGCAGTTGTTGATACTAGGTTCAGCCCCCTGTTGATTTAAGAGCTTAGAACATAAATGACAAACATGTCTGCATACTAGGTTCATGTGCTCTTGCGAGATGAAGAATTGGGTCCCTATTCTGCTTTGTTTATGTGAACTCTAATGGAACAGGGAGACAAGGAGAGAAAGTTAACGGTTCGATTGAGCTTGAAGGCTTCAAGCAACCACTTGTCTGGATTGACTTGGAGATGACTGGTACGTTGATCATGTTGAATTACATCTAGGTCTTAGTTGTTGGATTGGATAGAAACAGATACATAGATTTATGTTTTCTTCTGATTACAATTCTAGTCCGATTGGTACACTCATTCTCTGTCAACTCTTGTGTGCATAGTCTTTTCTGTTCTTTGAATGTGGCTTCATCTTAAACCCGCTAGCACGTAAGATGTTTGTAGCACCTGGGTATGGATTTTTTAAAATCTTGCATGAATTTGTCATCACATTTGTATTTTCCACTACTTCTCAATGGGTTGATCGCTTTGTTATCCATTTCCCAAACTTCCCATGTTCTTCCTCATCTATTACCTTTTCAGCGCATATGCAGCAACAACTTTTTTCCTTTTTTTAGTTCAGATATGATATTTTCTTCTTGAATGTAACCCTGAATGTTCTAAGAAAACAACTGTGTTTGGTCTCTGTTTGTCACGTCTACCCTTGTTGTGGTCTGCAATAGAAATTTACATTCCTTCATCTTGATGTTCACTAACCATGAGTTTTCTTATCCGTTTGCTTATACTGATGTTTAGGTCTAAATATTGAAGTTGACCGAATATTGGAGATTGCTTGTATCATTACTGATGGCAGATTAACCAAATCAGTGGAGGTATTCTTTTTCCATCCATGCTTTATGAACCTCTTTATGGTATTTGCTCTGGTTTTGATGTTTTTTTTTGGTTCATATGTTTTTTCATGCCAAAAAGGAAGTTAATTTGACAGTGTGTTACTCTGTTGGATAATGTATTAGAAATGAAAATACTCTGGCCAAGAGAATAGCATTTTCTTTGAAGAACTACGACCTAGTGTTTTGTTTTTCCTATTCATGTTCCATGCCTCAAATTTGAGAGAATAGCCTTTTCTCGAAGGAACTTTGATAATCACTGTGATCAATTCACAAAGGGCACCATTTTTTTTTAATACTGTCTTATGTGGTATTTTAATTGCTAATATTACATTCATCTTTTTGAAAGAGTTGAAAGCTCTCTCTCGACTGCTTCGGTTGTGCATTTATCTTAAAACGCCGATGCATCTTATATCTGCTTTGTCTTAAATTATTCTTGGATGCAACTATGTTTTGCAATAAAAGAGCTCCTCTGTTATTAGGGTCCAGATTTGGTAATACATCAAACAAAAGACTGCTTGGATAAGATGGGTGAGTGGTGTCAAACACATCATGCTGCTAGCGGTAAGTTTCCATAACACTAATAGTATTTGTTGATTGTCTCCTCCACATGCTTTTCATACTTGATATTTAACAAGATCTCATAAATGGTTGATGTGGGTCTCATAATGACACATGGATTTTTAATTTAGGGTTGACTGAGAAAGTGCTTCAAAGTACAATCAGTGAAAGTGAAGCTGAAAATCAGGTAACTGATAGATTACAGAATCTTTTAGATATTTTTAGGTATCTTGATGATTGCTTCCTGGTTGAATTAGACTCTGTGATGTCTTAAATTTTCGTGTCATATGTTTGACATTAAACTTGAGATTAAGGCAATATTGATATAGGTTTGACATGTAGATGATTTGGCCCAAAAATTAAAAAAATGGAAAAATTGTTAAAAAGTCTACTGTGATGTGCAATAATAACCAAAATGGCATCCGCACATTTTATAAGATTGGGTGCTGTTAAGTATTTTAAGCAAATACTTAGTGGCAAAGCTTCAAAATTTAAGCAAATTAGTAAGATATGCCTCATACTCTTCTAATCTTTTCATTCAGAAGAACAGTCTCTTACTCGGTTGGTTTTGCAGGTCATGGAATTTGTAAAGAAACATGTAGGTTCAGAGACTCCACTTCTAGCCGGAAACTCAGTTTACGTGGATTTCCAATTCTTGAAGGTAAAACTACTCGCTTACCGAATGCTGAATGCTTTGTCTTATCACGCTGTTCTGATGCATCTTGATCCTTTTCACAGAAGTACATGCCAGATTTAGCTGCCCTTTTCTCTCATGTGGTCGTCGATGTCAGTAGTGTCACAGCTCTATGCATCCGTTGGTATCCGAAAGGTAAAGCTTATCTAAAGGCATTGTCCTCCTTTTCTTATTCCACCCTTCTGCATACACTTGAAACAATACTTATAAAATTAAGGGCTCTTTTTATATATATAGCAAATTATTACCGACCCTGACTCATGGATGTGTGTGTTTGTTGCTTGAGCTCAGAACGAAGGAAAGCTCCAACAAAGCAAAATAAACACAGAGCCTTGGATGATATAAGAGAAAGCATCAATGAGCTTAAGTTCTACAAGGAAAGTATATTCAAAGCAAACAAATCAAGGAGATGAGCTCCTTCCTTGGGGTATATGCTTTTGTTACAGGAGCATCTCTTTTGCAGGGAACCCTAAATCATCACTTGGAAGGGTTTATTTGCCTTGTAAACGGCCTTTTGCTTCTAAATTATTCTTTTGGGTGTAATATTAGGGTTCCAAATTAAATTTCAAACTAGGGTTTGAAAGTACCTTGTAGGGCAAGTCTGGAGAGCCAGAATCTCACTTGCAATATATGCAGCACTGAATTGTGTTGGAACATTTCTTGACATTGAAGTAATGTTGAATTCTGAAGCATTAATATTTAATAGCATGTTGATTCACATGCACTTTTAATTTAGGGTTACTGTAAAAAGGCAATTGTGACCAGACTTTACTTGCCTCGCAAGCAACTAAATATTCCATTGAATGTGTTATCTACTGTTAGTCGTGACCCGGAAACACACACCAATGACATTATTTAGAGAATTCAATACCTCAAAGCAAAAAGCCTAAAAATATAATAAGGGAAACAAACCGGTTCGGTTAAAATAGCCATACCGGTTAGGCTAATATTTACAAGTAGCTCTTACACAATGCATTGGTTCCTCGTCAAAGAAGAGAATTCCACTGCCATTGTAAAATTTGTTTTGACAACTAGAAATAACCCAAACTTACAAAGGGAAACAAACCGGTTCGGTTAAAATAGCCATACCGGTTAGGCTAATATTTACAAGTAGCTCTTACACAATGCATTGGTAGAATGCATAGAGAGCTGTACTTCTTGGAAAGCTACAGACAAAAGAAATGAAAGACAAGAAATGAAGGAATGTCTTCAAATGTGAGAAAGAAAACCAAACCAAGCAACTGAATCCGAATCCGAAGATCAAAAGACCGAACAAAACATGCCCACGATCTATCCAATCATGCCCGAATCATAAAACCGATCATTTCTTCTCTTCGTTGTTTGTCCAGACCACGTCCTCCAGAGAATTCGAGAGGTTTTTATAGAACTGCAAACAGATCAAATTATTTCAGAATCAGATGAGAATCTGGTTAAGTGGTCGAACTGTAAACCCAGAAGACTGAACCAAACCGGGATCTAAACCAACCTATCAAACTTCGGTTTAGGCAATCATATAAATGGGTGTTTAAGGAAGTGGTCACCGGTTTGATTGAGCTAAAGATGCTGTGATTACCAAATCAAAACAGAATATAATTAATTTGGTCCGGTTCAGTTCAGGAATCATGCAAAAAAATTTGCAGCTAAACCGAATACAGAACCATTCACATGTAATGAAAATCAAAATGAGGAATATCAAGAAAAACATTGAACTTTCAGGAAGCTTGTTAAAAACTAGCCCAAGATCCTTGATTAATAGAGCATCTGAAACTCTGAAGGCTTTTAGTTGCAGTGTTTTAACAGTCAAAATGCTCGGTTTTTTGTTTGCAACGAAAGTTTACCAATTGAATCACGAAAACATGCAAAGTCCTGTTTGATTTTCGGCTACTTTTCCACGTAAAAACAAGAAAATATATGAAATGCATACCTTGTGGAATTCGAGGGTGTCACCTTTCGCTTTCCGAACTTGCACCATATGAAGGGATGGCGCCACTTGAAATATCTTCATGTCACAACAAAAAGGATCATAAAAAAACTACAATCAATTCGTAATTCATAATCCGAACGAGAGCTTCCTTCAATGTTCAGTTCCATTGTAATACCTCTGTGGCGACGTTGAGGTTCCCCTTTCTCCCGGCCTTCACATTCTCAAGCCTCATCTGAATTACATAAAACAAGAACCGTCGATATTTATATATAAAACATTCAGATCACCCGAGACAACGTAATTATGCTCTTAAACCAGGGGGGAAACGTCTGATTTTCGGTTTGGTTTCGGGGGTTTTCACTAACCTTATAGTTCTTCTTTTGCACATCAAACCCAAGGGGTCTTGCAGCTTCTTCAATCTTGTGGACGATCTCGTTGGCCGGTCCTCGCAACGTCATTCTAGTCTCTCTCTTGAATCCCTGTCATCATCGACATCATAAGCGAAACATCTTGAGAAACCAGAGAGAGAGAGGACTGATGATAATCTGAATTTGAAGAAACATTGAACTGATTTTCTACCTACTTTAGAAACTTTGCTTTAAATTTTGCAGTTTCTGAATTTGTTCAACTCAAACAATACCCTATTGGATCTTGTTCTTGAAAATTATTTGATATAAAAACATTATATTTATGACAAAATTTGACATGTTATTTATAGCACAAACCTCTTCAGCGTCAAAAAGATTGTCGAGGTTGAGCCCCTTTGACATTGAAATAATCTCAAAGGCGTTGATAGCAGCCGGCTGCTGTTCTCTCTTCTCGGTCACATGGTGTTCCTGGTCAAGGACCATTAACCGTACAACTCTTCTGTGATACGTTCTTAGCACGAAAACGAAAAATGATGAAACGATACTTATCCCGTTTCATGTAAAAACTCATTCTATTTACCTCAGCGTCCTTGAAAACAGCCTCGACATCATCCAAGTTTGAATCTTCTTTCTCCTCAAACACCGGAGGCTTGTAACCTTTCTTGAACCATTCATCTTCCAACACCTCTTGTATCGTAATCCTCTGGAAACAAAAAAAAAATATACACATCTCGTCAATTTCTCGGATACATTGGCAAATAAAGTAACCATGGCTAACAAATATACATTTTAAATCCTCAACCTGTTTCCAGAAAAAAAAAATCTTCGAACTTAACCAAAAAAAAAACAGACAAAACTAGACCAGACCTATATCCAGCTAAATTCTGATCAAAGTCCATAAATTGGACAACATTTAAGGTTTATAGGTTTTTTGGAAAATCGCCTGCACGGTTATATGGGTTAAACACAATTTGGAACTAATGCAAAAGGCCACAGACCTCGAGCTAAAGGAAAAAACTATAACAGAGAGGAAGAAAACTACTACGAACCTTGTGGCAGGATCAATGGAAAAGGACATTCAAATTGCAGATGAAAAGACAAATGATGCGATGAAACGAAAGATGGAGCAGATAGAAATGTACATTTTTAATAAATATAATGTGGAATCCCGAACTGTTTTCTCCAGCCCGTTGTGCTGGAAAACTGGAAACAAAATCGAGTATGTTGTATGTACAAAGGCCAACATAATTCACAACACAACAATGGAAAAAAAATTACCAAACATTCATCCCTCTGGTTACGGTCTTGATAAAGAACAAAAAAAGCTTTGTAATGTTCATAATTTATGTCAAATTTTTTTAATCGCCTCTAGTTTATTTCTTCCTGATGAACATGGACAGCAAACACAGTTTTATTAACCGCCTCTAGATTACTTACAGTCATAGGGTTCGGATCCAAGATTCGAGTTATCAATTTCATGGCGCCTAGTGAGAGCCATGGAGGGCAGTTGAATTCACCAGCCGAAATCTGCAACAAAAAAAAAAGAATCACGAAATAGAAGAACGAGTTATTACAACTCCATATCGGTAAAAGGTTCAGTGTAAATATTGGAGTTTAGAACAGTTTCTCACCTTTTTGTAAAGATTCATAAGATTAGAATCATCAAAAGGCAAGTATCCAGCAAGCAGGACATAGAGTATAACCCCGCATGACCACATGTCGGCTGTGGACCCGTCATAGCCTCTGTCATTAAGAACCTAAAATCACAACATCAAGGCGTGTGAAGAAGGACATCGTCCAAAACACGGAAAAGGGCTTAAGAGATCGACGATACACACCTCGGGAGCAACATAGTTTGGTGTTCCACAAGACGTGTGGAGAAGGCCATCGTCCTGTTACCTCGCACGTAACGATCATTAAGGGATTAGCATCGAAATCTTAATGGTTGTATTCAATGGCAATCGATGTGTATAAATCTTTAATCTTTTCCCCGAAATACCTCATGATTTAAGCAAGAGAAAGAAGAAGGGAAACTATTCGAAGGGTAAAAATTAACAGAAACCAAGAGAATACAGTCAAGTGAGACAACAAATACTAAGGAAGGGATGGAAAGCAGAAAACTTTTCATTACCCTGACTTGTTGGGACAAAGCACTCAATCCAAAATCGGAGATCTTGAGGGTTCCATATGCATCCAGAAGTAAATTTTCCGGCTGAAAATTTAGAAATTAAATATAAAAACACAACCTTAAGCAGACAATAAGTAGCCAGTCCATTTGCTTAGTATTGAAAACACGAACGAGTTCTTTGACTACTTCTTCAGTTACCTTGAGGTCTCTGTGGTAGACGCCTCTACTATGGCAGTAGTCAACAGCGTTAATAAGCTGTTGGAAATATCTCCTCGCCTCGTCTTCTCTCATTCTTCCATGGTTTACCTTCACAAGATTGCATATACACATTTTTTTTTTACGTGATTGGAAGTGATTCCGTATGCCAAATTCATGAAACCGGTAGTTGACTTACGATTTTGTCAAAGAGTTCTCCTCCCGTAACATACTCCAAGACGATAAATATCTTTCCCCTGCTTGCCATCACCTACAAATCAGTTCATGTGAAAGTTATTTAGTAATTTCTCAAGATCAAGGCAAGAAATCTACATTTGATTTTTCAGATTCAAACGGTCAACCAAATCTGCTGAAGTAGTGGTTAACCTCAATTCAATTTCCTGCCTGAAAGATAAACTAACTCAACAGCCCATTGACTTAAGTGCAGGAATCCAAGAATGAAGACTCAAATCAGAAACTCATGACCAAGTGTCCATCTTACGATGTTACAGCCCTTGATCAAACAATTCAAATAGAGAACGGATGAGGAAGGAAGTTTAGATCCATGGTCAAGAACAGAACCAATTCCATAACAAGTCAAAATTCTAAAATCTCCAGGGTGGAAAAAAGATCGAGATCGCTGGTGGGTCAGAACCAGAGTAACAATACCTCGTACAGTTGAACAACATTCGGATGCTTTATCAACTTCATGGTTGCTATCTCCCTTCTTATCTGTACAAACAAAGAGAAAAGAATCACGAAGATCGTCAGTATGACATGGCTGTGTCTGAATCTGGCAAGTTGTAACTATACATCCTGATCAAACAAACTTATAACACAATACAAAGAATCATACATACTAAGATAGAGACACTGATAAAGAAAATACAAACGACAGGCAAGAAAATATCATTGCGTTTTCCACACCAAAGACTGTAAGAAAGTTTCATTTACCGCCAATTGTCTCAAGTTTTCAGAGCCTAAACAAGATCAAATCCACGTAATAATCATGTTTCAGCTTACTGGATGGCGTAAAAACATGATCTAAGTAGAAGGGTCAAGCCAATTACAGAGAAACCGACCTGTTCAGCCATCTTGTGCTTGAGAACTTTCTCTTTATCAAGAATCTTGAGAGCCACGGCTTCGCCCGTCTCGGAGTTCCTAGCAAACTTCACTTTGGCAAATGTCCCTTCCCCAATTGTTCTTCCCACTTCATATTTACCTACTCTACGCTTAACTTGCTGACGCCGATTCATTCTCTCGCTAACCTTTCAGAAAGATTCAATCTTCCAATTCAGGCACAAGCCCTCAGATGTCCGCTGGAATCTATATAACAACCAATGATCTGCAGAATTAGGACAGAACCTACAAAAGGACAAAATCTCCACTTACAACTTGCAGATATGAGGTTTCAAAAATATAAGCTATGAGCCGCAAGTGTTGACATCCAAAGGGTATATTCCACAGACAAAACATAAGAGGCTAAGGTTTTTTCACAGAGCTCCTAAAATATCTCTCTTGAGACCACAAAAAAGATTCCTCCACAACCATTGGCTGCAAGTAAGGAGAGGCTTCAGCTTGTGGTCCGAGACGAAATACGAGATCTTAAGGTACAAAGACCGATTCTTGCTCTGAAGTTGACAATTCGTATAATTTATCGATACCCATAAGAAGAAAGAAAGTTAAATCCACCAGAGAGCCTACGAATTCCCGAAAAGTCATGATGCCTAGTAGGATTTAGAACCGAAAAAAAAGAGGAAGAAGCTTTTAGTTCGATCCAAAAAGGGGGAAAAGGACAAAACTTTGAGCAGAGATCCAAGTTACACACGCTTTGTGCGAAGAAATGGAGAGAAATATTCAAAATTGAAAGAAACCCACAACAAGGCAAAAGATCCACCTGAGGAATTATATGGATTACTGTTGAAGCTCCAAGTTAAAAGATGAGGAAGAAGCAGTAAGAGAACAAATCAGTGGACATAATAGGTTGTCATCTCCATTTATATAGTTTCACGCTACAGTAGAATATTACCCAATAGTCAATGTATGATTGAACCCACAAAAGAAAAACCAAAAAATCAGGGAGAAAAATACGAACCTTTTTCTCCAGTAAGCGGAAAAGAAAGCCCACAACAGAGAAAAGGTTTGAAAGCGAAGAGAGAGGACGTACGGATAAAATAGAGAGAGAGAGAGAGAATGGCCTTTGAGAGAGATGAAGAGGCAGGTAACCTGAGAAACGGTGAGGAAGGAGATAAAGACGATGACGAGGATGGTGCTGAAGATAATTATTTATTCTTTTTGTTAAATATTTTATTTTCTAAAAAATATATTTTTGGGGTTTTGTTTTGGGAGTTTACTTGAATTCACTAACAGACAGAGATCCTTACAAGTCCTTACAAGACATACCAACTAAAGTAATCACTGTCTTGTAAGGCTTTTAGCAGAGCAGAACCTTGAAAAGAGCCATAACTGACCACTTTTTGGCCCGTGAATTAATATTTATTTATTTTTTCATTAGTTATAATTACTTAAACTTCATTTGATTCTTGATTTTCTCAACATAAATTTTGCTTAGTAATTTGGGGTTTGGTTAGTCAAAGGAAATTTCTGTGTGATCAGCCAGAAAATAAGTAAAATTGGAAAATTAGCACACTCATAATTTTGTTTTGTCAAATATAGATATTTATCTGAAGTGTTTTTTATTATCCAAAGGAGATTATGTTTTAATTTATATTCCATTTAAATATATTTCATAACCTTTTATATTTTTTAAAAATGTTTCCAAATAATCTTTAGAATCTTTTTACAATTGTTTCCAAATAATCTAAAAATGAAAATTATAGAAAGATTCGCTGTAAATGTTTTAATTTTATATTTTCTTAATTATTAAGTGTAAATTATAAATTAATCTAAACTCAAATGTGAAGATAGAATATAATTTTTATTTAAAATATCAATTTATACATTTTTCAATACTATCTTACGGTTCTTACCAAAATCTCCTGATATTTTTTTTATGTGCTTACATACGTAATTATCAATCTATATATACATTTGAATATTAATGACATGGAGTAACGTTTACTTATCATCAAGAACAATGCTGCGCACAGAAAATATATTATAATTTATGGTTTACGCCGTGTGTGTGTGTATGTCTATATATATATATATATATATATATATATATCACAAGGTTAGGTGAACAATGCCATTTCACCGACTATAAAAATATTTGTGAAAATTTTTCTATAGCCGGTCAAATTATTTACTATATAAAAATTCGTTCTATTTTGGTAAAATATCTCAAAATTTTGTCGGATTAGTTCATATTCCGAAATACATTTATTATGTTAGAGATTTTTTTGTGTGTAAAAGAGATGTAATTATTATTTAAATAAACTTTGAATCAATTAATGACCTTTCAAACATGTTAATTTCTTTAATTGGGAAATTTTGCCAACTACATGTTTTTGTTTTAACACAAGTTATATTTAATTTGGATATCACCATTATAAAAAAAAAAAGTTATATTTAATTTAAATAAAAGAATCCCGGCAATGTTAAAATTAAAAAAGTGATGGTCCAAGATCCTAAAAAGATTCGTAGGAAACTTAAATTATTCGCAACCTTAAAAGTAGATCGGTCAAACTTCATTCAACTTCACCTCCAAATAAAATATGAAACTTAGTAAAAAAAAATAATGATAATTATAAAATATCATACTTCAAAGCTGCTAATACATCAATAGATTATTTACAAAAAAAATAATAATAAAGGATTAGTTGTTTTGGTCAATTAAGTGCTCTAAGAGAGAAGTTCTAGGAATGAGATATCTCACATAAAAATCATTAAAATTCATAAACTTGTAATTGGGTGGGAAATTAATTTTTTAACTTTTTGAATAGAATAATAATTCCTAAACATAAATTTCTAAACTTGTTTTACAGTGTCACACAAAACTTTGACCCTTGTTAATCCATTAAACATTGATTAAAAAAAGATTTACGTGGTTTATAATGTGTAATAACACGTTAGTTTTTTTTTTACTTCTATAAATCGGTTTATTGAGATTAAATCCGATTCAATAAAATCCAGTTTATTTTTTAATTCAATTTAATAAAACTCACTTCTGCAGGTGGTAATGAAAAGTGGCGTGATTTTCAAAATTTAGAAATTATTATTTCATATAAAAGAATTATTATTTTTTTTTTGCTAAATTGCAAGTTTAGGAAATCTTTTTATTGGTTTTTGTCAAACCTTTCATCTGCAATAACTAAAATATTCATGGTCGATTATGTTAGAACTCTTTGTGCAGAAAATTTCTTTCAGTTATTGAGCAAGAAAAAGTATATATAATTTGCTTAAATAGACAAAATCAAATATATCGGTTGCTCATGTAAGTTCACTTTACTTATGATTAATCATTATTATATTACATTTCAGGGATAAATCCGTTATTCAAATAATACATTTTCTATCTATCCACATGTAGATTCGGATTGAAATATATCATAATTTTTTAGATATTTAATTTCGTTTACAAAACCACTTATATGTACAACATAACATTTTTAGAGCAAAAAATATTTAAAATAAATTTTGGAAATCAATTAAAAATGTATAAAAAAAAACTATTCAACAAAAAGCTATGTACCCACCTCAAATACGGCCATTATAAAAAATATCTCCTTTTGTTATTTTGACTTTAACATATATCTTTCTCCAACTGTAACTCTATTATTCATATGATCAAAAATATAATCTGGTTATATATTGATCACATTGGTCATAACATATAATTTATAATGTTTTTATCGAATGATCAGTGGGATATGTAAGGGATGAACATAATAAATTAGTGTGATCATAATAAATTCAACGTTATGATTAATGAGATCAATATGTGACAAAATTATATTTTTGATCACATGAATCACAGAATCATAGTTAGAGAATGATATATATTGAATTTAAAATAGTAAAAAAAATGGTATTTTTGATATAATGAATTAGATTTTTTACAATTTGAATGATCAAAATTCTACGAACCATTTTTAATCGTAAGAAGCCGCCAGATTCCGTAAAAATCACGTTTTTTTTGGGGCGTTTGCGATACAACTCATGGAGAAAAAACAAAGTCCGATGTGACTTTCTTTTCATGTAATTGATAATGGATTAATTAATTATTTGATAGGGAATGACAGTCGTGGAACACGTTGGTTGTAAATCAGAAACTTTAGCAGCCATCAACGGAAATTAAATTCGTTAGCTGTCATCTATTTTTATTTTAAAAAACCTACCAAAACGCCAACATAATGATAAAAAAAAAAAGGATTTAAAATTATCAATATTGAATTGAGTTGTAATCCACAAAACTGAATCCAACTATACCATATAAATTATACCATTAAAAAAAAAAAAGCAAAGTTGGACCATCAAGTACTATAGAAAAAAACCTAACGAATGTTAGGTCTCATTTCTTTATGTTGAGGTGAAAGCTGCTACCGCAGTTTTCCATGTCTATATCCACCGAATCCCAATAATAATAAACTGAATCAAAATATATTAGGAAATTTTAATATATAATTTACAAATTAAAATTTTGAACTTAAGTACGATGACTTGCATTTATAAATTTAATAAAGTTTAGTATGGTTAAACTGATAATCTTCTTAACTCGACTCTTTAAACTCACCAGTCAGTATATTATCCATATACATATATAATTCGATTCAAGTAATCACAGTTGTGATTTCTAAGATGTATAGAAATGAGTTTTAAAAATTAGTATATATAAAATTTAGATCTTTTCTGTAATAAATCCATTTCCCATACAAATTTGAATATAGATATCCTAAAATTGTCAATCATTCAAACCCATTAGTTAATGTTATACCAAAGTCTATTTTTTTGGGGTGCGTGCACATGCACTGGCAAGTAATTTCACATAGCACAATCAAATTCAGGACTGATACAATTCAAAATTAAATAATTGGGGTTGCCTAAGATTTTATTTTCCAACAATATATTTATATATATATATATATATATATATATAAATAAGAAAACTAACGTCATGTCTCATGCAGGACACGTTACTTGTAACGAAACTTAAAACTCACTGTCATGTAAAAGACATCATTTTGTGGTACGGATTCCCCAAACCACTCAACCAAAAACCACAAGGGAAAAACACGACCGATGGGTACCCGCCTCAAGAGAGAAGATCCAAGGAATAGCTTTCTCTGTTCTTATTCTAGGAAAGCGTCGTCAAGATATGGGATAAGGGCCAAGTCAGGAAATAACCTTCCATGCTCAGAGAGAGAGAGAGAGAGAGAGAGAGAGAGAAGCTCCTAACACACCCGGTTGCTGATACTTTGAGATAGAGACTTGAGCTGTGTGTTCCATTTGTCTATGGCTGTATACTTCTTCATGCCCTTTGACCTGTAACGACAGTCTCCATCTAATTCAGTACTCATACTTCTGGAACAGTGGCATTAAGAGGAAAGGGAGAAAGAGAGAGGTGGATGAGTATAATAACCTGTCACCACGCTCCAAAAGGCGGTTCACTTGATCAATGTGTCCATCGATTCGATTGTCCAGTATCAGTGAGACCAGCAACTGCTCAACATCCTTCTCTGGAACGTTGAGTTCCTGAAAATTTAATGGACAACATGCGATAAGTTTCCAATCCAAGTGATCAGACATGATAGGGAAAACTCGAAAGAAGCTCAGATGGAAACCCCACCTTTGAAATGAAAGGAATCCTTATCCTCGTATAGGGTTTGATGAGCTTGAGAAGCACTTGTGTCCTAACGTTCTTTAACAAATCCTCTATGTAATTTCGGATAAAGGGATCATCCATTATCGTCCTTCTATTACTCTGAAATTGTTCCCAGAAGCAATGTATTGAGAAATCAGAGATGCTGACCAAACTAGAAGTTAAGCGAAGAACACCTGGACATACCTTAAGAATTTTCTCGAATTCAAGTATTTCGTTTCGCTGATATGCCGCTATCAAGTTTGTCATTGCCAAAATCTCAGGGTCGTTTTTGTAACTGCAGAGTGGAATCTTGTTAAAGTTGAGACATCAAATAGAAACATAAACAAAAAGGATTTCGGGAAGAACTGAAGAAGGTTGCCAAGACAAATCATATGGAAACGACTTACGGCTTTGCCTCCTGGCCGTCAAATGGATTAACTTCTGATTCCATCAGCATGTTAGCCAAAACAAGATATCTTTATGAAATCATAGAAATGGAAAAATTCATTAGCTTTCCAACAGTTAAAAAAAAAAGAGACATAAATTTTACTAGGAAAAGTCACAAGAAGAAAATATTCAGGAATGCCAAAAGCAAGTTGG